GGGGCTCGAACCCACGAACTGTGAGGTCATGACCTGAGCCGAAGTCGGCCGCCTAACTGACTGAGCCCCCCAGGCGCCCCCATTTTAACCGCTTCTAAGTGTGGGGTTCAGGGGCACTGAGCACACCGGCACGGCCATCGCCACCATCCACCTCAGACCTCACTTCCCGAAGCAAGGCTCTGCCCCCATTCACCTGCGACGCTCCGTCGGAGCGGCCCCCCATCCTCCCTTCCACCCACAGACCTGACGCTCTGGGGACTCGTGGGCAGTGGCATCACACAGCCCTCGTCCCTCCCTGCGAGTGTGGCTTGTCTCCCTCCATATGGTGTCCCTCACGGTGGAAGCGAGTCTGTCCCACCCCTGAAGTAGTCCGGTCACTGCCGGCTCCTGCCCCGGATCGCAACGCACAGAAGCGGGAGACCTGCTTACCTTCCGGGCCAAATATCCCCGGCGCCCCTTTGTCACCGGGTGACCCAGAGACGTTGGAAGGTGGGGTGATGCCTGGAAATCCCTGAAGTCCGGGACTCCCGACGGGGCCTCGTTCCCCTTCGGAGAGAAACAAGAAGTCAGCTTTGGCGTCAGCATCCAACTTTTCAATCTATCGTTTCCCCTCCTGTGCAGAGGCCGAGCCGCCAAGGAGGGGGCGGGGGTGGGGGGAGGCGGGGAGCTGCCACACCGCCCTGCCCTGCGGGGAAGCCTCCAGCCCCTCCCGCTGCCCCGAGGGTCCCACGGATCGTGGACGGCCCCTCGGCCCTGGGAGGCTGGCTCTGCTGCTCGCTAGCGCTGGTGCTGGGTCGCAAGTTTCCTTCTGGAGCCCTCGATGCTCTTGGTCCGCCCTGGGGGCACCCCCCTTCCGTAGCCCGGGCCCCAGCTTTGCACGGCCGACCTCACTGCTTGCGGATCCTGTGCCTGCCAGTCCTCGTACTGGCAGGATTTACTGGGGATGCGCCATCAGTGCTGGCGGGCCTCCTGGACACGCAGAGGACGCAGTCGCCTGCGTCCCCACCCACGTCCCCATTTCAGCTCCGAGTATCCTCTCTGGGTTGGTTTAGTGCTCTGGCTTTTACGTTTTTGTGCTTCTTACTGGTGATTTCATTGTTAAACTGTCCCTGTCCCTCCCCGGTCATGGTGAAGTCCTGAGTGGCATTCCTCCGCTCAGGAAGGCGGGGGCGTGCTCACGGAGGACACGTGCGTCAGAGAGATTTCCTTCGGGCAAGAGACAGAGCCGATGGCCATGAGGTCCATGTCAGTGTGTCAACAACACACGTCAAATAAGGTGTCTTTTAACAGAAACACACTTAGAAGGAGGCTCCGTGTAGACCGGCCGATGAACACGTGAGCAGGGCTCTTAGCAGCCCAGCCCCGCATTTGCACGAGATTCGCTCGTTCAGGATCCGCTCCGTGTTTGCTTCGCAGAACAGAACGCAGCACGGGACAGGGCTGGCCTCAGGCACCGACCGAGGACAGACCATGGAGGACAGTCCCCACGTGAGCAGACCTGTGGGTGGCCCCTCCTCCCGCGTGTCGGTTACAGGTGCCCATCCGAGCTCAGCAGCCATGGGACCCGCCAGTGGGGAGGCAGTTGGTTTCTCTTCTGATTGCCAGGCTATTTTTCTGGTGCTGGTTTTCTCCGACAGTCTGGAGGCCAGAGAGGAGCCTGGGTATCTGGGGCCAGCGTCCCTCTGCCAGGCGCACGGTCCCCGTGCGACCGAGGGGCTCCCTGGGTCCCCACGCGGCTTCCTGGCTGGTCCTCAGCAACACCACAGCTCTGATGCCCACCACGGGGCGTGCTCTGCGCAGCCGATGGAGAAACACCTGGGGGGGGACCCCGACAGGTGTCGTCTTCGTCTACTGATTACAGGCGGCCAGCGAGCTCCCCTCTGTCGTCTGACAGGAAATGACGCCGGCCGAGCTGCGTCTAACCACTCACACAGTGACCGACACAGGCGGTGAGCATCAGTGAGTAACGGCAAAAACTCGAGTCGGAAGATCCAGATCAGCCAGATTCCCACGACCAGCCGCAGCGACAGGGCCTCTGTTAACGACACTCCAAGTGACCCAGACCCAGTTTGCTGGAGTTGGGGTCAAAACAGGCCCTTTCCCTCCATGGCGCCCACGGATCTTCCTGAGTATTGAATAAGCCCCGGACTACCCGAGGTTTGGCGAAAGGCGGTGCGGCACAGGCAGACTGTGACCTGAGCCCCAGCGTCAGCGGCAGGAAGCATCTGGGCTGAAACCTGGGATTCTGGCCGGAGATGAGCCCCAAGGGAGGGAAGACAATGGCTCGTGGTCACCTGCAGTCCTTGGAGGACAGTGCATCCTCCAAGGACACCGGCCACCCGCGTGTCCCCATGGAAAGTCTCCTTCCCCTACGGCAGCTGGAGGCCGCGGCCCAGTGGGCAGCACCAGGAGGCTGGCTGGGCTGCTGTGATCTGATGCGGGATGAGGCCCTCGCAGGGGACAGCTGCTTCGCCAGGAGCCACTGGGCCTCGGGGCTGCGTGGGAGCCTGTACGCTCTGGGTCCCTCTGATGGAGGGCAAGGGTTAGGTTCACGAAGAATTCTGGGAAACAGACGGTGCACAGGTAATGCACAATGGGATCATGGGCGGGGCGGGGGGTGTCTTTCAACTGCGGTCACAGAGAGTGACTTCATGACATTCTTCTCGAACTTCTGGTCTGCTGAACACTTACTCAGCGGCGGGCATCGCTCCGAGGTGTAAATGGGAATAAGAGGTGACTTCTGTCCTGCTGGAAACCGTAATCCAGCCCTTGTTGCCAGTTTCTGAGCCTGAGCGGCAGGCCATGTGCATCAGACGTCAGTGCACGTAGGAGCGCAGGAGCCGGCGACTTGTGAGCCCTGTCCGCGAGCACCGTCTGTGCCTCTCACTTCCCTCCGTCCCCCCGGGCGGGGCCTCACCTCCACATCCCAGGGCCGCCTTCCTCGGCCTGTCAGAGGGCAGATGCTCTCACGAGTGGGATTCTCGGAAAAAATGCTAACTGGGGGCCTTGTAGAGAAGCCAGCCTTGCTTTCTGGGCTTCCGCGTGTAAGAGCTTCACTGCATGATCTCACTGCACCCCCTCGATACCCAGAAGGTGTGTTTCTACCTTCGTTTTATAAGCAAAGCCACATCCAAGGTCGCACCAAGTGAGAGGCAGGACAAGAACACACATGCAGACGTCTGACTTCAGAGTCATGGGCACAGTCACTCCACTGGGGGCTTGAAGGAGGCTGTGCTGATGCCCTGACCCTAGATCCCCACCCCTGAGCAGGGATGTGCTGGTCAACGGACTCTAGATCCTCACCTCTGAGTGGGGATGTGCCGATGGACTGACCCTAGATCCTCACCCCTGAGCAGGGATGTGCTGGTCGACAGACCCGGGCTGGGGCTGTGTGAGCACCATGCAGCCTCTCAGGGCTCATAGTCAGGCCCCAGCTGGCTGAGCATCTCATCAATCTCTTGCCTTCAGATCAATGCTGCGGCGCTCAGGTATCAGGGGATTCTGGATCCCAGCTCTTTGAAAGGGAAGAGGGGCGGTGCCAGACCTTGGAGAATCACGCGTGTGGTCTGTGAGCCTTTGGACACCTGCTGCTGTCGGTGGGGGGTCGAGTCGCTGCCTTCCTTGGGAACTGACCACCCTGTGGGGTCGCTGGCTCTAGCTCACGTGGGTACCCTCACCCTAGCATGCCCTGGGCCACCGTGTGACAGGCCGGTGCTGTGTGCTGTGCAGCACCAACAGCGCAGCCCTGGCTCAAGGCTCTGCTGGGAACGAAGTGCGGGCACGCTGGGCGTGTGGGGCCCACGACCGTCAGCCAGCAAACCCTCAACGAAACTGTAACACTTCGGGCACACTCTCCCTGTGGATACTGATCATGCTTCCATCTGGAAGCACTTCCCACCTCAGGCTAGGCTCGCTCCCGTGTGCTGGGGGCTGGGGGTCCTTTCCCAGCAGGTGACACACTGTTCCCTGCTTGGCTCCTACCGCAGGCCAGGCCTGCCCGCGGGGTTTGGCTCTGATTGTAATGCTTACATTTATGTGTTCATCCGCCACGGAGAGCCTGTGATGGGTAACCCGTGTGCCGGCGCCCTGGGGACGCGGCAGGGAGTGTGGTCCCTGGGGGACCGGCAGCGTTTCCCTCCCCCAGGCAGAGTGGTCGCTGACTCACCCCCGATGGGCTCTGAGAGTGTGAGGGAGGAGGGCTGGCCGAGGGGCTCTGCAGCAAGAGTTCTCTGCAAAGCAAGCGGCCCTTTCCAGAGACCTCTGCACGCCCATCTCTCAGACTCACAGACACCCCGGGTCTGGTGCCTCTGGCTGGGCTCACCTGGATCTCCTCGCTCCCCTTTCTGTCCTGGGGCTCCGATAGGGCCTGGGCGGGTGTTGGCCTCTCCTGGGTCACCCCTGTCCCCGGTGGGACCGGGGAAGCCGGGGTCTCCGTGGGCGTCCACACCTGTGCAGGGTGGACACAGCAGTGACGTCAGCGCTCGGCCGCGCCAGGCTGACTTCGGAAGAGAGGGGGCAGTAACGCCGTGCACTGGGGCTCAGGGACAGAAAGCCGGGGGGGGCGTGCAGACGCCCGCTAGCCGTGCGGCCCGTGTCCCCGACGTGATTGTGGTTGGACCCCTTCTCCGTCTGCAGAGCCACTGGGGAGCCTGTGTGGCCTCCATCTGGCTCCCTGAGCCCCTGGGTCCAGGACTGCCCCCCAGCCCCTCCCCCCACCACTGGTGTGGTCAGGTGGCTGGCATAGGACCGCATACCTGGGGATCCCGGAAAGCCCTTGGTGCCCGGCAAGCCGTGTAATCCGCTGATGCCTCGGACGCCCGGAAAACCTGTGTGGGTTCCACTCGGTTATTCCGTGGCCGGAGCACAGAGACACGCTTCAAGTAATTCGCACCTTGTTTTGTCTTGTCCTCTGCCCAATTTACTCAACATCCCCGCACACAGCAGGCAGTGCTGCATAGCGCGACTTGTACGTCACTTTCCTGTCACCCGGGACACCTGTTGAACTTAAAGACTGTCTTCACGGAATCTTTTCACAGTCTCGTTGCAGCCGTGGGGAGCTGGATGGAGGCGCGGTTTCTCCCCCGACGCTGCGGCACTGTGCGCGCTTGGTGTAAAAGCCGTGCTTGGAACCAAGGCTCTAACCAGCATCACCCTCCCTCCGGAGTCCCGGGCACACACTTCCCTAAGTAGGACCCGGGAGGCTGCTGGCAAACAGGCACGATGCCTCCTGGGATGTGGGCAGCGAGTGTGGGCGGAGGTGGCCCCTTAATTCTGGGTAAGACAGCCCCCCAGGCCGGGGTAAGCGCCCAGCTCCCGCCCAGAGCTCGGCCAGACCTGGGCGCAGCCGGAAGCCCTGGACAGGACGGCGGGGACACTGGCTTCCGCCCCTCTGTCCCACCTCGGCATTGCCGTGCGCCGACCAAGAGGCCGACCGGGGTCCCGGGGCCTCTCCCCGCCTGCAGGCCGGCTCTGAGCGGCTCCGGCGCCCGTGTCTGCGGGGGGAGAATCGCTCTCACCTGGTGAGCCTGGCGCCCCGGGCCAGCCGAAATCTCCTTTGTCACCGGGCGCTCCTGCCCGTCCGGGCTCTCCCTGCGGCCCCTGGAGCCCAGTCAGTCCCGGGAAGCCTGGGGGGACAAACACACCCTTAAGTGGGACCGGAACCCTGAGGAACCCCAAGGCCTCGCCGGCCTGCAGCTCGGTTCCTGCCTGGAGGAGGAGGGCCTTTGTGGGAAAGGAAGAGCCTTCCTTCCAGCCGGGAATGTGCCGCACGTACAGGCTCAGGGCCGGCGGCTCAGCTGTGCCAGACAGGGCAGCCCGCGTTCTCCCAGTGTTGACCCGCCATCCGCGGGGGGTCTGAGAGAGCCCGGGTCACCCCGGAGGGCTAGCCGCAGGGTTCCCAGGTCCCACGCAAAGCGAGGCAAACACAAAGCAAAAGCAGGAACAAGAGAGAAGGGGGGAAGTAGTCCCGTGTGCTTTCCAAGCTAACTCGGGATCCACAAACGCGTTTCGAATGCACACAAGGGGTGCTGCGACCAGAACGCGGCCTGCGTTTACGGGGAGACGGACGCCGGGCCCGCGGGAACTCGGGCGTCAGTTCCCGTGCGTGTCCCCGGGGCTGGCCGCCTGGTCCCCTCCGCGAGGTCCGTCCTAAGGCAGAGCTGGGTGACGGGTGACAAGGAAGAGCCGGCTTCCTGGGGTGCAGTGTGGTGGCGGCAGACTAGGCCACAGGCACGCCGGCCACCTCTGCTCTGGGCTCGCGAGGTTCAGAGGCCCGGCTGCGGCGTGGGCCCGCGTGACAGCACGAGATCGTACCTGCCTGCCCTTTACGTCCGGGAGGGCCTTGCACGCCTGGCACGCCTGTGATCCCGGGGAAGCCGACTTCACCCTCCGTTCCTTTCTCCCCAAAGAATCCCTTTAGACCTGCAAGCACAGAGTTCCTGGTTGGAGCGGAGCAGGCCTCAAGGGGACGCCCGGTGAGGGGTGCTGTCACTCCACATCGGTGCTTCTGCTGTGAACGGCTCCGTGTCTGCACGAGTTCCTTCCCTGACTCGTGTTTTACAGAATTCAGTGGCCCCACGTCCTGGTATTCATGCCCTTGGGCATGGATGGGGCTGACCTGGGTGACCCCAGGCCACTGTGTCACTTCACTGGCCTTAGAACGCAGCATGCATCCCTGCTTTCACTTTGTCACCCCTTTGGATATCACCCCTTGGATGGCTGGCTCTGGAGAGGACGCCCAAGCCGTGTGGGGAGAGGCCCACGTGGCAAGGGGGCTGAGGCCTCCCACCAACGCAGCTCTCGGGCGCCATCTTGGAGTCAGAAGCACCGTGCTCCTGAATTCCTGGCCCTCAGAGACCAGGAGATACTACCTTTTGTGGATGTCCTAGGCCACTGTGTTTTGAGCACCTTGCCCAGTAGCCAGAGACCACCAAGTAGGCCCCCGTTGGAGTGGTTTTCCACGTGTAGTGTGTCCAGAGATCTGGGGAATCTGTTCTATGTGCAGATGACTGAGCCTCTGACCTAGGGGGTGCTCGGCGGGCCCGGGGCAAGGCCTGCGACCGCACCCGCAGCCTGCACGTCAGGAGACTCCGAGGTGGCCACCAGGCCTTCACACCGGTGGCCATGTTCTCGGTCAAACGTTTGTGGTGTTTTGTGGCACGCTGGAGGATTTTGGAAACTTCGGCTCAACTTAACATCCCACATGATCACTCTTGTCTGGCGCCTGCTTACACTCCTGAGTTGCTTAGAAGAGGTACTGCCAGCGTTCGTGTGGTCTTGAAGCAAAACCACCTGAGTTCTGCTTATTTCTATCGGTTACTTTAGTGTTTCAGGAATCCTCCCCAAACCCCAACCAGCTGTGCTCCCCCTGTAGACGGTCCCGCGTAGCGTCAGCCCGGGGACGCCAGCCTGAGCCCCGCCCCCGAGGCCCTCCGGCCGCCCCTCTGCTGCGCGGGCCACTCTGGGCTGACCTCTCAGGCAGTCCTCATTGGTCCAAGGGGGACGGAACGCCCCCAAGGTCACCTGACACAGATGTCATGGCCCCTCCGCGCCTGGGACCCAAGTCCTGAGACACAGCCCTACTTCCTGGGCCCACAGCGAAGTCACCCACACATTGGAGGGGTGACAGCTGTAATTCTTGGTGGGGACAGCTTGTTCCCCGACATACTTTCAGGTGAATAAATGAGGTCATTGTTAGTGACCCGGAGCAAAGATGGTCTCATGTTTGTGCTTTTATAAACCAAATTGTCTGAAATTCTGCAGAAGGGGCGATGTAGGCAGCCCAGGGTGGCCATGTGGCCCAGGGGAAAGCCACCGCGAGGCCAGGTGACAGGTGTGCAGTGAGCCCTGAGTGGCCGGCAGGCACGGGCCGTGTCTGGCTCCATGCTGGCCTGAATGGCCCCGTCCATCCCAGAGCTGTTTCTGGACAAGAACCACCCCATCGAGCAATCACACGGACAGGCGCTTTCCCCCGACCGGGGCTGCCCTGGGAGAACTCGGGGCTCCAGCTCAAGCAGTGAGGGGTCCCCAAGAGAAAAGCCCCAGAAGGGATGCATCTGTCCCAGATGCCCACTAGCGGGAATGCTGACCTTGGACTTAGGGATGCTCAGGGAAGAGGAGTGAGCTCTGCACCCTGCGAGGCCCCCCGCCCCGTGCCTGTTGGGGGCTGGCCCCCGCTGCCCCCTCCTTCTAAACCCTTTGCTGCCTATCACATGCTCTGGCCGTTACATCATTTGCTTCATGTCCTCCATGTCCTTTCAGGAACAGAGAGAGCTTTCTTGGCGCTGTCTTCAGGTTCAACTGAATTAAAAAGTCCAGACTCTTCTTTGTGCCCTGGGCTTGGAGACCTCAAACCGTACCCTGTACTGGGACCCCGGTGACACCAGGAGATACACTTGGCTGGGCCAGCTTGCGAGTGAGGTGCTCGCAGTGCTCAGGCCCGTCCCAAGGTGGGGACACAGGAACGACTCAGTACCTGGTACTCCGGCGACACCCTGCTCCCCCTTCAGGCCGGGGCTTCCTGGCAGATCGATGGTGTCTCCAATGTCACCTGAAGGGTAGAAAAGACGGTTGGCAACAGCTTTTCCTACTGGCAGGGGGTCAGCTTCACAACTTCCGTTGTGTTATCATTCGTTCATTCATCATTCATTCATCATTCAGCTTTGTGCCCAGCACAGAGCCCAACGTGGGGCCTGAACCTCAAACCCTGAGATCGAGACCTGAGCTGACACCAAGGTTGGATGCTCAGCTGCTGGAGCCACCCAGGCACCCCTGTGTTATGTTCTTAATAAAAAGAATTTGCTTCAAAATTCCTCCCAGCATCTGCGGTCTGGTCACCACACGCTTCTGGAACATTCTGGACTGTGGATGCCCTACGGTCACGACCCAGGCAGCACTCACCAAAATCACCCGTGGGGCCCACCTCGCCGTAGAGACCTGCTCTCCCCGGAGCTCCCTTGTCGCCCTAGAGCAAAGTCAGACAGAAACATCTCAAGAAGCGGCTCACGAAATAAGTCTGTAATTGCGGGTTGGGGGGGCGGTGTCCAGCTACTTGGTTTGCTAAAACCAAGTCTCCAGGCTGCAAGTTGTGTCATCATTTCGCAGGACCCTTCATGTTTTTCTGCATGACGGCACGTCGTTTGCTCCCCTGTTCTTACTCGGCAGTAAAGCTTTGCTGAAGCTAAGAGTGTAGATGACGTAGGTCACGTTCACGATGGTGGCAGCGGCACTCATGGCTGACTGCGTCCCACGCTCTGCTCGGCCGTGCATGGGCAGCCGTGCTGGGTACCGTCTCAGAGGCAGGTACTATGGATTCCCATTTGACAGATGAGGACAGAGAGGCACAGAAAGGCTAAGTAATTTGCTCACTCAGAACTGGGATATGAACTTGGGCTGCTGGATTCCCGAGCTTGCACTAGACGTTGCACGGCTGTGCACTCCACCTGCTGACGTGAGACTTCTCAGCGATGCTGGCTCCTGATGATGAGCCTGGGATGGGGTCTGGGTGGCTCTGTGACCATGCAAACCATGATTTCCTTCTCTGAAGGGGCTCCTTCCTCAGGCGGAGGGCGGAGTCCTGCTCTACCCTGATCTTCTGGTCTACACAGCAGGCAACGTTAGTGGCGACTCGTGCATGGTTACCTCTCCCCGCATGGCTAACTTGAATCTCTGGACCAGAGTAGCTCTACTTTGGGGGGGGGGGGGCGGGCAGGTGGTGCCAGAGACTCCATTCTTGTTCAGATGATGATCTCTCTTCCTTTTTTTTAAGTTTATTCACTCATTTTCCCGGGGGGGGGGGTGGTTTGGAGGCGTAGAGAGAGGGAGAGAATCCCAAGCAGGCTCCATGCTGTCATCACAGAGCCCAACGTGGGCCTCGATCCCACAGCCATAAGATGACGACCTGAGCCCGAACTGAGAGTCACATGCTGAGCCTGCTGAGCGGCCCAGGCGCCCGTCCCTCTCTTCCTCTCTTGAAGCTTCCTCTCCTGAGGAGTAACGCACGTCACTGCGGTGACCTCCTCACCCTCTCAGTGACCTTGGACTCACGTCCCACCCAGATAAACACACACAACGTTTTCAGCATTCCAGAAAGTTCTCTTGTGCCGTTTCCTCATCCCCAGTCCCTGACCGACCGCTGTCATGTCGTCTTGATGGTTCTGGACTTCTACCCCCCTGGGATCGCATCATTTGTGCTGTTGCCGGCTTGTTTCGTTCAACACGAAGTTGGTGACGGTCGTTTGGGTTGGTGCATTTATCAGTGATGCCCAGTTTACCGCCAAGTGCTCGTTCACGGCTGGAACCCGCCATGGCCCCCCACTCCCCTCCCGTCGCGGCCTCTGGGCTCTCCTAGGTTCTGCTATTCGGAATGAGGCTGCTGGGAGCACTGTCCTCCGGGCCCCTGGGTGGACACACGCATCCTTTTTCTGTGACCCGACTAAAGACCTACTGATCTGCCCCAAATGGGCTAACCTCCCCAGACGTGCCAGAAAGGAGTCCGTCATGTGCTGAGGACTGTGAGCATAAGCACCTGTACCCGGAACAGCATGGGGAGCGGATCCTGGGAAGCATAACTGACCGAGGGCCCCTCCGGGCCACGGGCCACTGACCACGCCCTGCGCAGGGTTGCACCCCAGCAAATACCCCGTCAGGAGCAGGGGGGATGGGATGGGAAGTAAGACGTTCACTCACCCGGCTTCCTGTGAACCCGGGAAACCCGATGATCCCGGGGGGACCGGGCACTCCGGGGAATCCTGGCACGCCGGGCACGCCCGGGACTCCGATGTCTCCCTTGACTCCTTTGATGTGGCCTGGCTTCCCTGGCAAGCCGGGCACTCCGGACAGCCCGGGGATCCCCGGCATTCCCGGGACACCTGCGGGGACACCGCAGCGTGAGGAGGCAGCGCCCGCCCGCGCCTCGCTTTCCACTCTGCGGCCCCGCTGCTGCGGAGCCTGAACCTGGGGAGTGAGGCCACTCGGGCGGCAGGGACGCGCGGGCCCACTCGGGCCCCGGGGCTGGGGACATGGCGGAGCCCGTCTTGGGCTGAGGGGCGTCTGGTGTGGACGCTGTTGTTTCTGCAGGTGAGGGGGAGCGGGGAGGCACGAAGATGCAGCTGAGGGTGGGGGGGAGAGTCTGCGATGCAGCTGAGGGGAGGCGGGGAGGGGGAGGGGGTCGGTGATGCAGCCGAGGGGGGTGGGGAGGGGGAGGGGCGGCGATGCTCACCTTTTAGGCCCAGGTACCCTTTCAACCCCATAGGCCCTTCGTCTCCTTTCTCTCCTTTGATGTCTTTCATTCCTGGCTGGATTATGGGGGGTGGGCCTGGGGGCCCGGGGTCCCCGCGGCTGCCTGTGAGGGAACAGGATGCATCTCACTGTGGGCCTCTGGGGCTCTGGCCCGCTGTCCCGGCAAGCGGGTCCTGAGAGGCTCTGGCCTCCGGCGGCACCAGCCGGGCCTCCGAGGGAGGCTGAGACCGTGGGAAAATGCCCGTCTTCTCCCACGGCCCCTTCTCCACGCCAGCCGAGGGCGGACCCGGCCGCCAACCACCGTGGACCTTTAGGGCATTTTCATCACCCCGGGAAGAAGCCCTGTGGCCATCAGGGGTCACCCCCAGTGCTCCCCAGCCCCAGCCCCAGGGGACGGCTATCCACGCCCCGTCTCTAGGTCTGCCTGCTCTGGACGATCACGCAAAGGGAAGCAGATGACATGTGGCCAAACGTTCCCAAGTGTCACTCATGTGGCAGCATGTATGAGACCCTGGGTCTTCACTGCTGGCGGTCGTTGGCGTGATGCCACATTTACCTGCGACGTGATATGTGCCCGGGGGCGTTTCTGGCTTTGACTGTTAGAACAGCGCTGTTCTTTTTTTTTTTTTAAAGACAATTTTCTTTTTTTTTTTAATTTTTTTTAAATATATTTTTTTAAAATTTATTTATTTCTAGGAGAGAGAGAGACAGCATGAGCAGGGGAGGGTCAGAGAGAGAGGGAGACACAGACTCTGAAACAGGCTCCAGGCTCTGAGCTGGCAGTCAGCACAGAGCCCGACGCGGGGCTCGGACCCACAAACCGCGAGATCATGACCTAAGCGAAAGTCGGACGCTTAACCGACTAAGCCACTCAGGCGCCCCTGAAAAGCGCTGTTCTGACAGTCTGTAGGCGCCGCATGTTTCCACTCTCTCGGGCGTGCAGCCGGGACAGGAACGTGCTGGTGCCTATGCGGCCTTCGTAAGGCACCGCCAAGCTTCTCGACCGCGTTTCACGTTCCCACCAGCAGCGTGTGATACGCACGCTCTCATTAGCACGTGTTGTCATAATTACAACTGTGCTGACCCTTCTGGAAGAATGGTGTCTGAGCAAGAGTCCTGAGTGTGGCTGCTGGAACACACTTCCTGAACAAGGAGCCTCACACGTGGGGTCTCACACCAGGGGTTGGGCCTCCCGTCTGTGGTCACCGTCTCGTGGGCGTGGTCCTTCCACAGGGAACACGGGGTCCCCATTTGTCAAACGGCGCTCGCCTCCTTCGGAGCCTGTCTCCTGCTTTTCACCCGGACTCACCCAGCCCCGCGCTCACCACGGGAGAGCCATGGCGGGGTGGCGTCTCTCAGGACGCACGGTGATATCCTTGATGCTGCCACCATTTTGTTCTTAACGGTTTCCTTTGTGTGAAATAAACAGGCCACAGGGACGTGATGTGCCTATGGCGACTGTGGCTAATCAGACCGACCTGTGCATCTGAAAGTCACTGAGATCCTAGATCTGGACAATTCTCATTGTAAGAAAAAGTTCTGTGACCGTGTGTGGTGACAGATGTTAACTAGGCGTACGTGGTGACCATTCCCCAGCATATACGAGTAACCATGATGCCTTGCAGCTGAAACTCATGATGTTTGCAATTACAGCTCAGTAAAAACTTCTGTTGAATTCCAGCAAAGAAGCTTCTCTGATGATACTGCTGCTGGGTTGAGGCAGGAATAAAGCCTCTGGTCTTTGTTACTTTCCTTCTTTTCCTTTCTTTTTTCTTTTTTTAAATGTTTGTTTAGTTTTGAGAGAGAGAAACAGAGAGAAACAGAGTACAAGCAGGGGAGGGGCAGAGAGGGAGGGAGACACAGAATCCGAAGCAGCTCCAAGCTCCGAGCTGTCAGCACAGAGCCCGACGCGGGCCTCGAGCCCACAGATCTGAGATCATGCCCTGAGCCGAAGTCGGACGCTCAGCCGAGCCACCCAGGCACCCTGGTTTCCTTCTTTCCTAATTGTGCGCAGCTTTGGGCTCCTGGAAGCGCGCCCCAACCCTGTGAGAACGACGTTAAGAGAGGCGGACATACCTTTCACACCAGGCTCGCCAGCCAGACCCTTCAGTCCTGGAATTCCAAAAAATCCGGCCTCTCCCTTGCTTCCCGGAAGCCCGGCTCTTCCCTTGAGCCCCACCATGCCTTGGAAACCATCCATCCCGGGCGAGCCTCTGCCGCCTTCAGAGGGAACGAGGGAAGTGCAGGGTTAGGCCGGGGTTAACACGGCATATTTCCGTCTTGCTCGCAGGTGACGTTCCTGCGGAGTGGCCCGGAGAGGGGGGCTCCTGACCTCGACCAGGGATTCCCGGGGCCCCATCCCTTAGGGGCTGGTGAGCTCGCCCACCGACTGTTCCTGGGGACAAGGCATCAGGCAGATATACGCGGTCACATGAGAGAGACGCGGCGAGTAGGCCCACGGGCCGCGGGAGACGGGACAGCAGGATGCGAACACCCCGGCCTGGGAACCCGCACAGGACCGCGGGGCTGACGTCACTGTGTGGCCCCACGGTCACGGGCCGGGGCTCCCCTCCTAGGAAAGTGGCCTTGGTGGGTGTAAATACACCCACCCTGGTGGCCAAGCGCTTGCCTTGGTTTCGGGTTTGTGTCAGCCATGCGGCCTCGGGCCGTGCAGCCGGCCTCCGGAGGGGCCTCCCCGCGAATCTCCCATGCAGACCCCAAGTCCCGCTCCCTCGCTCTTGGGGATCTAGGACGCGGCACTGGGGGCATGTCCGTCACACCCAGGCTGGCAGCGCCGGCCGGCTTTCCCAGGCAGGAGGCCTCCCGGGGGCCGAGAGGGGGGCTGGCCTCTCCTGCAGCCGTCCTGAGTCCCGGTCACCCCGTGGCCCCCCCGGGGGAGCCCCCCGCCTGCCGAGTCTTACCTTTGGGGCCGGGGGCCCCTGGGATGCCGCTCATTCCTTTGTACCCGGGACCTCCTGGGGGACCTCTCTCACCCAACAAGCCAGGGTCACCTCTGTCGCCAGAGAGACCCTTCATGCCCACAGGGCCGGGGACGCCTGTGTCGCCTGGGTCCCCTCTGTCCCCAGGCAGACCTGAAAGTCAGGGGAGGAAGGAAAGTAGAAGAACATGAACAAACGTGGAAGAGCTAAATGCTTCCCAGACCCCTCTCCCTGGACAGCGCCCCCGCCCCCGCCCCCAGGACCTTCCAGCCTCCAGGTGAGGGCCAGGTGGTCTCTCTGAGGGGGCCTGGGGGTGGCCTCTGGCCTCCCCTCCGGGCTTCCTGCCCCACCCCCCCAGGGAAGTTCCTGCTCTTCCTCCCCATTTCTGTCCCTTTCAGAAAGCACGTGATTTCCCCTCCTCAGAGCAGAGCCGCCATCCTGCAGTGGAAATTTTGTGTTTCCCCTAAGTGACATCTTAGCCCGACCCCGACACGCAGCAGGTGCGAAGCGAGCGGGTCTCTCGGTGGAAGGCGTGTCCTGTCCCTGGAACGGGTCACCGGCGGAACTCTGTCTCCCCTGCCCCCCCCCCCACCAGTTCGTATGTTGAAACCCTAACCCCCACTTAGGGGCGTGTGAGTGCATCTGAAGATGGTGCCTTTAATGAAACTGACATGGGTCCTCATCAGGTGTGACCCGTGTCCTAAGAGACCAGGACCTACACACGGGGGGACGGCCATGCGGACAAGTGGCGGCTGCCCCGGGTGGGTATTTTCTGAGTCCTCTGTACCTCTGGGGCAGGGCGGGGAGGGGGGTTCCTTGGGGCCCAGTTTGAGAACTCCCTGGGGGAGGTGGGGGCTAGTTCACTTGTCGGTACCAGTGAGGTCACGCCCCACCCTCCACGGGACAGGGGATCCGTACCTTCGCGGCCTGGGGCGCCTGGCAGCCCCAAGGGCCCCTCCTGGCCGGGAGCTCCTGCGAAGCCGTGCTGTCCTGGTGGCCCGGGCAGGCCTGGCCGGCCCGAGGGTCCCGGGAAGCCCGGCTGGCCCTTCAGCCCCGGCATCCCCGGCATGCCCTGGCTTCCTGCGGACACCAGACAAGCGCCCTGAGGCCCCCGCAGGGGTCACGGCGCAGCCCCGGCCCCTCAGGCTGGTTCCCTGCAAACAGGATGCTTACTTCCTAGGCTGTGAGCAGCCCGGAAAACGCACCAAGTATTAAGGTCAGATTTCGGCGGCGCGGGCTGTCCCCAGGGGCCACCTCTGACACCTGGCTGTGCGACCTCTGCCTCTAGCCACACAAACGCTCCGGGGACGGGGGCCTGCAGACCCCGCCCCTCGCCCGCAGCTCAGGTTTTGGCTTTTTATTCCAGTTGACATAACAGTTTGAGCATTTTGCCACATTAAAAAACATTCTTTACGTATATTTTTTCAGTTTCTTTTCAGAGAGAGCACGAGCGTGTGGGGGAAGGGCAGAGGGAGAGAAGAATCCCAGGCGGGCTCCGTGCCGTCATCGAGGAGCTGACGCGGGGCTCGAACTCACGAACTGTGAGATCATGACCTGAGCCGAAACGAAGAGTCGGAGCTCAACCGGCTGAGCCCCCAGGCGCCCCCCCCCCTGCAAACACCCTTTGCATTTTGCATGGCTGTAGTAGTGTTAGTAGGACCATGCTGTGTGGACGCAGTGCTGTGCGGAAGCCGTTTCGCTGCGCAGAGGCGGGCATTTCTTCGGGAACGAGTCCTAGACATGGGCTCTGTGGGCCGGAGGACCTGCCTTCCACACGCACCGCGCACGGCTCCCCGGCATCTGCCGCGGCCTGTCCTGCGGGGCTGGCTCGGGGCAGGGAGGCGCGGGGCAGGCGCAAGCCTGGCAGGCAAGGTGGAGGAAGCACGCCATGTCCCCATCTCCCTGCTCGGTGCCGCGAGCGACATTTCTTTCTCCTAGATTTCGCTTCTTAATGAAATGTTTGTTCTTTGCTACTATTTTCCTTTGGGGATTTTGATATTTTTATTATAGATTTTTAGTATTCCTCATATACATTTGCTAATCTTCCTTCATAGCTACTGTAAAGTTTACTTGGCTGCCCAAGTTTTCATTGTTTTTGACATGATTAGCATTCGCATGGAAATTTGATGCGATGTGCGTGCACGTGTGTGTACACATTTGCATGTGTGTATGCGCATGCAGTGCACATGTGTGCACGCATGTGCCCACGTGTCTGTGCACGTATGTGCAGTGTGTATATGTGCGTGTATGTGCACATGTGTGCAGTGTGCATGTGTGTGCAGTGTGTCTGTGCACATGTGCATGTGTGTGCAGTGTGTCTGTGCACGTGTGTGCACTGTGTATGTGGACACATGCACGTGTATGTGAACGTGTGCATGTATGTGCACTGTGTATGTGCACATGTGCATGTGTATGTGCACGTGTGTGTATGTGCACGTGCGTGCAGTGTGTATGTGCACGCATGCACGGGTATGTGAACGTGTGCATGTATGTGCACTGTGTATGTGCACGCATGCACGGGTATGTGAACGTGTGCATGTATGTGCACTGTGTATGTGCACATGTGCATGCAGTGTGTATGTGCACCCGTGTGTGTATGTGCACATGTGTGCATGCATAGGGGAAGTTTCTTCTCTGGCTTTTATGTTTAGAATACCCTGCCCTCCCCAGTGGTCATGTGAGCATCTATTTTCTTCTAGTCTGTTTTTAGTCCTAATTCCCCTGGCTTCCTTCCATTCAGGTATTTTCACCTTTCTTGGACTTGGCGGCACTGGTCCGGTGAATACCGGTGGGGGGACCGTGCCCGCCACCTCACAGTGCTCGTCGGCCCAACCTAGGAAGCCCTCCTCTGCCCGCGCCTGGGAGCGGACGGGTGGCGGATACGTAAAGTCACGGGTCTGCCTGCATCTTGGTGTCTGGTCGGGACACCGCTGGTTGGGTGTCTGCCGTGCGCGGCGCACCCAGCGTGAGTGCTTGCTCCTCAGTGAGACTCGTCGGGGACGGTGGGGGGCGGGCGTGTCTGCCACCCTTGTCCAGCTCTGCACAGACCAGGCACCGAGCCACAGCACCGAGCCACGCCTTCGCTCCTTCACTCCTCACCCGGAAGTCTTTCCACTTTGCTAACGTGCACTGATGATGTTGGGAACATTAAGGTGTTTTACATGAGGGGCGCCTGGGGGCTCAGTCAGCTGAGTGTCCGACTCCGGCTCAGGTCACGATCTCGCAGTTCGTGGGTTCGAGCCCCGCGTCGGGCTCTGTGCTGACGGCTCGGAGCCTGGAGCTGCTTCGGATTCTGTGTCTCCCTCTCTCTCTGCCCCTCCCTCCCCCTCCCGCCCTCGTGCTCTATCTCTTTCTGTCTCAAAAAGAAACATTAAAAACATTTAAAAAAAAATTAATAAACAATGTTTCACACCAGTCCATTTTCACACCAACCAGTTCAAGTGCGTCCCAGCTCCTTCTATCTTCCACCTCGCCCTCTTTCCAAGCTCGGCCCTCTCTTCTCACCAACGACTGCTGAACGCGCCAGCCAGCCCCCCGCCCCCCATGCACGCCCAGCTGGAGAGCAGAGGACGCGGACCATGAATCTGCGCCCGCGAGCGTCCAATGGCCATCGTGTCCTGGCTGTGAGGGTGAGTCACAGTGTGCCGATGACCGTCCCTACCCTTCTAGAGGAAGCCGGTGCTGAGTGTGGGGAAGGAACCACGTGCGGTGACTTATCATCAAAGCCCCAGGAGGGATGTCGGACCCGCAGTTGGGAGCCAGGTGTGCCCCCCCCCCCGCCCCCACACCCGGGACTTACCCCTGAATCCGGGTGGGCCTCTCTCTCCTGGAGGGCCTTTGAGCCCGCGGTGTCCGGGTAGCCCTGCATCTCCCCGGGGCCCGGGCTGGGCTCCCAGCACTTCTCCAGGGAGGCCCCTGTCCCCTGGGGGCCCGACGGGCCCGGGCAGACCAGTGGGACCGGGGTGTCCGTCCGGGCCGCGAAGGCCTGCCACACCTTTGGATCCTCGGGGCCCTACAAACCCTGGAGGGAGACACAGCGGTTCCACACCCACAGGTCAGCGCTGCGACGGCCCGAGAGAGGCGCGGGGGCCGCGGACGCCGCTCCAGCCCGGCCTGTCACCCCCCTTGGGGCCCCAGCACTGCGCCCCTCCACCATCCGGCCCCCGGCGCCACCACCCAGCTAACGTGGAGAAGCTTTTGGAGCCGCCTGCTTCTTGGACATGAGTCTTCCTGTTTCACGGGCTCCCCGGATGTGCAAACAATCCCTAAAGAACAGGGGTTCTGTGGGCCTTCCAGTCACGTGTGCAGTGGGGACAGAGACCCAGGGTGAGAACGACCAGCTCCCCCGGCCCCGAGCTCTGCCGCCCCGGTCACAAGTCGCTGGCCATCAGCCCGTTGGCCAATCGCCCTGCGGTTTTCACGGCCAACTGTCCACGTCTGGATGGGGGCAGGTGGCTGTCACGTGCTGCTGCCCGTCCCGGACCACTTCCTTTTCCCGCACCCGCATCCCTGATGCGGCCTCAGGCTGAACTCCGAGAGCAGACAGTCACGTGTCTGTCCAGCACGAAAGCGTTCTGAGGTCATCAGTGCCGTGGCTGGGAGCGCCGGCAAGGAAGGCGCTGCCTGGCGTGGGGTCCGAGCCTTTCCCAGGACGAGGCTCGCCACGGCCCTGTGGCCACCACCCCTGTGGCCGTGTTTGGAACACGGAACAACGGATCTGGACTTCATGGGAGCATTAATGAGCTGGACCCTATGTGAGCACCTCAGGGATGTGATTTAGTCACAGAAAGGAGAGACGCGGCTTTTGCGGAGATGTTAAAAGCCGTGCGCGGGAACCGTGGACTCCAACAGTGGGCTCGTGGGTCTTACACCTCGAGTGGGCCCTGTGTTGTGCAGCCCTCGAAGCCGGGCATTTCTGGCTCCTCGGCACGTGGCACATTCCGTGTCGTAGAGGGTGACACACGCTCAGAGCACGCCAGGTCCTCGCCCCTTTCCTCGTTCTACCCCCATCTCCCCGTTCACCTACGGGCTCACATTTCAGTGCGGACAGGCTTCCTAACACCGCCCCCTCCCCGCGTCTGGGGGTGACCGCCGTCCCTGCCGCCGCAGCGCACTCCAGACAGGGTCACGCCCGCCTGGCCGGCACCCAGCGGATGACCGGCTGCCCTGGCCACGCAGGGCAAGCAGGTGGTAACAGATTACTGTCCTCTCAAGAAATTCACACTTGGCTTTGGTATGTGTGACCTGACCGGCGCGACCGTGCGTTAACTCCCCAGGGCCTGGGCGCTCCCCGTAGGGCAGAGAGCGACGCTGGCGGGCCCTCCGCGGCGCGGGCACGGGCACTCTCCTGTGTGTGTCACCAGCGCAGGTTCCCAGCAGCCCCGGGACACGCAGGGAGCACGCCTCCTGGTGCTCCAGGACACGGGGAGACACGCGGTGCGAAAGGTCCGGGGCGCACGCTCTCTGCGGCCCCGTGGGCTGCAGCGCTGAGCCCGGGGGGAAGCCTACCAGGATGGACCCCGACTGGGTTAAAGCATCCAGAGTGTGACACAGGGAAGGGGCACAACTCGTGCAGTCTTTGCTGAGGGTCTAACCCTACGGATACCACGGTGCCTGGCTGTGCGATCGTCCAGGCGTCCGGACTGTTCCGTTTAGTTTTCCGGAGCCTGGTTCGTAGGGAATGTGGACCATCCCGAGAGTGGAGGGCACGGAGGGCACGTGAGGAAGAGACGGTCTGCACGCTGTTCGTGTGGCCTGTAAGGGGACGCGTGGCCTCTGTCTCCCGCTGTGTGGGGGGCGGTTGTGTGGAAGTAGAGCAATCCACACGAGGGAGAAGCAACTAGAACTTGCTGGAGGCAGATTTCGTTCCTCCCGACGATTTCAGTAGAGGCTGGAGGGGCTCCTGACCGGGACCTTGGGCCAAAGTGGCTTCTACACTCCCTGTTTCAACAACACGATTCCCAAACCGTGTGCCTCCGCACACCAGGTAACACAGCTGGGCGCACTCACACCGCCGCAGCCTAACTGCGTGGGGCACCTGTGCGTGGGGACACGGGACCGGGTTGGCGGGTATGTAGACACGTCTCCCCGAAGTCCATCACTGGCAACACGCTCTCTGCCCTCCGCCCTCACGCTCCCTCAGCCTCCACGGCTTCCCTAACTCTCAGACGCGTCAAGGGTCGAGGGAACCGTTCGCTCAGACAAGCACCCACTGAGGAGCGAGCAGGCAGGTCGTGAAAGGTGGACACAGGTGTCCTTTGTGCGGCATCTGGTGCGTGATCAGCGGGTTGGAATTGATGACTCGAGGGCTCTGTGCCTTCAGCGACGGTCCCAGAGGAGGGGGTGTTACGTCGCCCACGGCAGGTTTAACACCCACCAGAGGGCATGGCCCTGCACACCTGTCTCCTCCGTCCTCCAGGCTGCAGGGACCTCACGCAAAACTCCAGCGCGACAGTGGTGACGGAAGCATCAAGAACTTAATTTCCCAACCGCAAGGACACAGTGGTCACCGAGCACGTGCTGGAAGTTTCTCAGTGTCTGAAGACAAAGCTGGGGCACCCACGTCACGCACGGTCACCTCCCGAACCTGAGGGGTCGCGTGGGGGTCTGACTCTCCCTTACCTGGGGGTCCTGGGAATCCTTCACGACCTGGGTCGCCTGGGAGACCCTTGAGCCCTGGTGCTCCGTCAGCTCCCGAGGGTCCCAGTATCCCTTGGAGGCCCTTGGCGCCTAAGGAGGCCGAGGAACAGACACAGGTCAGAGCCCCATGAGCAAACCCCCGCCGGGAACGGGGGAGGCGGTCAGGGTCAGCACCTGACGTAGGGTGGTGCTTATGACGCGAGGAGACGGCGAGGATGGGGAATGTCAACCTAAAGTGCCACTTTTTTTAAAAGTTTATTTTGAAAGAGAGAGCGACAGTGCAAGCAGAGGAGGGAGAGGGAGGGAGAGGGAGAGGGAGAGAGAGAGAGAGAGAGAGAGAGAGAGAATCCCAAGCAGGCTCCGTGCTGTCAGCACAGAGCCTGACTCAGGGTTTGATCCCACGAACTGCGAGATCACCACCTGAGCTGAAATCAAGAGTCGGATGCTTAACCGCCTGAGCCCCCCAGGCGCCCCTGAAACGGCCCTTCTGACATCTGGCCACACCCCTGCAAGCTCCACGGACTGCGGCGGCTGTATCGGTCAATGTCCTACCAGAAATCACTCCTAGTAAGTCTTCCTTTGAGTTTGCTGCCCCCAGAGCCAATCTATCCGGATCTGAGAAGCGTTGACTTACACTCCTTGTAACGAATAGTCTACACTGAAAACCAGATGGAACCTCAGACCAAATAAATGAACTAATTCTTCGCTCCTGGCCGCCTCTGATCTGAACCTTTTCCTATGGGAAGCAAACGAGAGATTTTTTCCAGGCGTCTCTCTGTGTCTGGTCCGAGGCTCAGAGAGTCCCTTCGTCGGAGGCTCTCGGAAGCCACAGGCAGCACATCGGCCAACGGCCGGCAGTGGGGGCGCCGGGCATGGGGATTCTCTGGAAACAGCGGTGAGAACAGCTGCCTCCTCCCTCCCGTGTGCGAGGTAGCGTGCAGGGCAGGGGCTGGCGAGGCGGTGGGCGGGAGGCCCGTGGGTTCACTGGGGGTGCCAGCTCTGCAGCCGCTGTCCCGATAGAGATCCCCCTCTCATTACTGAGTGATTGGGGCGCTCGCCCCTGCCCTGCGGCAGCCAGAGGAGGAGCCGCCCGGGGCCCCCCAACTGCTCCGTCCTGGGCTGATGGACACAGACATCTGGGCGCCACCCGCAGGTGGGGCTGCCCAGACCCCGCCCGTTATCTGAAAAGCCACATCGCCAGTGGGCGCGTGGACGGCTCCACGCACTGGGCTCTGCCACCGGGAACCTTGCTCAAGTCACGTGGGGCTTGGTTGGGTGATGGGTCCATGCCAGCAGCCACACGGGCTGTGGAGATGTGCTGCTGGCCTTGTTAGTTTCCGTCCCCCTCCGTCCAAACCCACAACTAACAATCCCTCCCCAGAGGTTCATGACACAAAGGCTGGGACTCTCAGGGGTCAAAGTGGCATGCTGAGCCAGCCTCCTTTCCAGTCTGGACGTGGCGTGCCAGTCTGCTACTCTGGTGCCCACCGAGGCGGATGCCATGTTGGGGGCTGGGTTCTGTGCGGCAAGAATTTGCTCTTCTAGCCTGGGGTTCAACTAGGTGTCAGTCACCACATGCATTTTCCACGGTGAAGAGGAAAAGGCTGCCTCCCTACGCAGGGGACCGAGGTTCACGGTCATGTGCCAAGGTTGCGGAACGCGGCAAGGTCCAGAGGTGGGGAGGGTGCAGGCAGCAGATGAGCAAAGGGGTCAGAAGGATGATGAGCACGCGGCGGGGGGGGGGCGGGGGGGGCGGAAGGCAGCCGCAGTTTACCTGTGGGCCCTGGGGGTCCCCGCAGGCCTGGCGATCCCTTGGGCCCTCCGATGCAATCTGGGAAGAGACAGGAGAAGGTGAGCTGGGGCGACCCGACACCGACTCTCACGGCTTTGGGCGCTGCCAGGTCAGAAGCACCAGCCCTGAAAACCGGCTACCGTTTTGTGATCAGAGGAATCTAATGACTTAATTAATCTTGATTCTAATGTAAAGGAAGGTTTAATTTCACTGTGTGATGAACCAGGGTATTAGCATAGACACCAACGAAGTCAAGCCCGTCCAGGAAAGCCGGCACCGGGCTGGCCGTGTTTCATCCCCGCATTTAGGACGAGGCCTGGGCACAACCGAGCTGCTCTGGGTCCATCCTAGTCGTCAACGCGACTGCCTTTCTTGTGTCTGGATGTGTTCATGCGGGCACGCGGACAGCCTGCAGTTTCGAAAGGAATTCTGTGACTTCCGCTTTGTGACTTCGGATAGTTTCAGAATTAGCCGCGCTCGGGCTGCTTTGAGAAATGAAACCTGGGCTGTGGCCACTTCTGGGCGGCGTGGCCCAGGGTGGTGGCATCACGTGGGGGTCCTGTGGCCTTCACCGGAGACACAGCAGCTCTCCAAGGCGTGCTGGTCTGCCCGCCCGGGACCCGGCCTCCCCTGCCGCAGTAGGGTCCCCGAGGGACACACGGGCCAGCGCACCCATCAGAATAAAGGGACGGGTATGTGGAGGGCACAGCCCCCTCCCCCAGAGCCTCACGCCCGGGGCCCTCCCACCGGCTCCCTGACGGCCCTGCCCTGCACCCACGCGTGCCTGATCCGTGTCCTCATGTCCACCCCCACCTCGCGCAGGGGACCCACACGTCCCGATGCCACTTCTCCGACCCTGACTTGGTCCTCAGGCTCACACCCAAACTTTCACCGGCCACCGGGGACCTGCTGCCTCCACACGTTCTACGAGCATCCCGAACTCTGTGCGCGTCTCTCTGCCCGAGGCTGGCGCCGCCTTCGCACCCTGGACTTGTCCTGGCTCCCACTGCGGTTCCTCGCGCTTCCTGGAGACTGCGCCCTCCGCGCCCGCTGGGCCTCCCCCCATGGAACCCCTCCACGTGGCCACCTCGCGGCCTTGGCTCAGGGTGCCTGCATGTCCCTTGGTCACCCAGGGCCCCCGTGCTTTCTAGCGCCCGTTCATCACTAGACCAGGTTCTCTTCTGACAGCTGTTCCCACACGCAGCCGGCTCACACCCCTCGCACGCGCACACACAGATGAATATCTGCATATTTAAGTGTGAGGGCATCTTATCAACGGTGTAGCCTGATGCTTTCCGCGTCTGTGCTCTCCTACGCTTGCCCGTCCCCGGTTATGGGCCCTCACGGTACCTGGCTGCACGGTCTTCTGTCCGTCACCTCCGATGGGCCTTTTCACATCTGTGTCACAGTCTGGGAGCAAGACAGTGCAGGGGTGAGGCGATTCCGCAGCAGCCGAGTGTTACCTCCCTACCCCAGGGGGTGTGCTGGGGCCCGGTGGGGGGAGGGGATGGCGGGGGCGGCGGGGAAATCCAGAGGCGCGCTCCGGGACTGCTGTGCTTCCCCCGCGACCCGGCGCCGGAGGGGCAGGCCCACCCGGGGTGCCCTGAGCGTGGCAAGGCCCGGAAAGCCCCATGGTCGGTCTGCGGGTGCCCACGGCTGATGGTGCAACACGGACCGCCGCGTGGCGCCCAGGGGGACTTATCCACCGAGCAGGAGGCGCGTGCCCCACGACAGAACCACACGGGAGAGGCCCCTCCGTACCTGTCTGTCCGGGGGGGCCCGGGGGGCCGGCGGGCCCAGGGAAGCCTGGCGGCCCAGGTCGTCCTGCATCTCCGGGGAAGCCACGCTCGCCCTTGGGGCCGGGCAGGCCCAGTCCCGGGGGGCCCCTGTCTCCCGGGGCGCCCTTCGTGCCCGGTGCTCCGGGGTAACCGGCCTCCCCCAGGGGGCCTTTGATGCCGTCACCCTGTGTGGAAGTTCGGGTCGTCTCTCAAAACACGTGGAAACCTGTGCGGCCGCCCCATCCAGGTCTCCCTCCCGCTGCCCCGAGCTCCGTGCGGGGGACACAGAGCCGAGGACGGTGGGGACTCGCAGGCGCCTCCAGTCACGCTCTGACCAGGCTCGGGGACAGGGGCAGGTTTTGTGCACAAGGGACACCATGGGAGACGGTCCCCGGGGACACACGACTCTGAGTGTCCGTCTCCTCTTCCCATGCCTCTCGCCCCTACTCCCCCCCCCCTCCCCGGGACCTGCATTCACGGGAAGAATCCCGACGGAGCTTTAGGCACAAGTCCAGATTCAGGGGGGTGGGGACAGACCGCTGTCACTGTTATGACCGGGCCTGTGGATGTACCCACTACCCACAGGGTGAGACGTCGTTCAAGGACAGGAAGCCTGGTTTGGGCCAGAAGGAGCAGAATGCTCACTGGAAGTACGGACGTGAGACAGGATCAAAAAAGCAGAGTGCAGGGGTGCCTGGGGGGCTTGGGGGCCCCTGGGGGGCCCAGCTGGTTGAGTGGCCGACACTGGCTCAGGTCATGATCTTGCGGTTTGTGGGTTCGAGTCCCATGTCGGGCTCTGTGCTGACGGCTCGGAGCCTGGAGCTGCTTTGTATTCTGTGTCTCCCTCTCTCTCTGCCCCTCCCCCACTTTTACTCTGTCTCTCTCTCAAAAATAAACAAACATTAAAAAAGAAATGCAGGGTGCTCCCTATGGATGAACCTGCTCAGCGGGTGCGGAAGGCGGAAGGCAATGGAGAGATAAAAGGGGGCTGTGGGCACGGGGTCAGAGGGTGGCTGTCAGCAGGGTCAGGGTCAGGGTCAGCGTCAAACACGCAGCCGGCTGCGTGCTGAGTGTGTCTGGATGCGCTGGTGAAAGTCCCAGCCATGCTGCGAGCCCCAGCCCGTCCGCCCCCCCGAGGGTGAGGCTGGGATGCTCCCCTGGCCAGCAGCAGAGGCTGCCTCCCCGAGGCTCCCCGCCCCCCGAGGTTCCCCGGCCAGCGGGGACCCCCGGACCCCAGGCCGGACCCGCACTCAGCGCTGACGGTGGCGGCCCCTCTGCATTTCCCATCTGAGGCGCGGCTGGGGGTGGCAGCCTGCTGACAGCTGGCTGCACAGCTTCTTTTTGAAAACGTTTTTCAGGGTTGTAACTAAAAAGGCAACACCAGATTACGGATAATCCAGATGTTTGCAGAGGGCGCATGGAGAGTGCACCGAGAGCGCACCGGTGCCCTCTAGAAATGACCGTGTTGTGCAAAGGGGGGCCTGGCTTTTGGGAGGAGGTGGACGAGCCGCTACAGGGAACGGCGGCGTGAGGCTCTGGGAGGGAAGTGTCGTGGGTGGGACTGTGCCCCCCGCCGGCCAGAGCCCTGACGCCCCTGCCTGGGGGTGCGGCTGCTCTGGCACAGGGTCTGTGAGAGCGATCGAGGGGAGAGGTGGACACAGAGACAGATGTGCCCGGAGGGAAGATGATCCCACAGCACAGGCAGGGGACAGCTGTCTCCCAGCCAAGGGACACCCGCGGGGACAGCCTGGAGGAGGGAGCGGCCATCACCCAGCCTCCCTTCTGTGTTCTGCCAGGAGGAGCATCTGTTGACTGGTTGGTGCTTGAACGTCCCTCTGGCCCTGGCTTCTGACCTAAGTCCCTGCTTCCTGACGGACAGGACTGTGCTCGTGGGGCCGCATGCGCTGGGTGGACTCAGGACGGGGCGGCGCCAGCCCCTCGCTCGAGGTACTCACAGGGGGGCCTGGGAGGCCTGGGAATCCATCCAGCCCGTCGCGCCCTGGGACACCGTCGTCACCTTTCAGACCAGGCACGCCGGGGACACCTGGCTGTCCCCTCTCACCTGGGGAGGGATTCGCGGTGTGACTACTCACCCCAGTGCCGCCAGAGAAGCACCGCGGGGCTGGGGACCGCCGGCCCCTGGAGACTGACCTTTGGTGGTGACGGCCCGAGAATCGCCCTTCACCCCTTTGGGCCCGGGAGGTCCGACGTTGCCAGGGGCGCCCTGCGGGGACAAACGCACAACGTCTGCCTCCTTCGCACTGTCAGGGACGCCTGGGAAGGTGACGAGTTTCAGCCGACACGGCTCGGGAGCCTGAATGTGGCCAGTGGGACTCAGATTGACTCTTACAGTTCAAATAATTAAAACGTAAGGGGAGCAGCCATACGTGGCTGCACGGAGGAAACCTCGCTCCTGGAAGTCTGGTCCGTGGATGAGCGGCCTCGGGCTCTCCTGGGAGCTCGTTAAAATGCAGAACCTCGGGGCGCCTGGGGGCTCACTGGGTTATGGGTCCGACTCCTGATCCAAACCATCTCATGGTTTGTGAGTCCGAGCCTCGCGCACGGCTCTGCGCTGACGGCATGGAGCCTGCTTGGGGTTCTCTCTCTCCCTCTTCCTCTGCCCCGCCCCCACTTATGCTCTCTCTCTGTCTCTCTCTCGGGTAAATAAACTTAAAAGAATGCACAACTTTGGGCCCCACCTTGGGGCCCTGAACAGGAATTTGTGTTTTAACGAACTCCCAGGGATTCACGTACTCGTGAACCTTTGAGAAGCAGCGACCTAAGGCAGATGCAAGGCTGCTACGTCTTGGCTCCGTTAGTTAGAATCCAAGCAGGTGCTAAGCCTCCACCGACAAAGGATGGAAGTGTGTGCTCATCCGATCCTGAGAAAGACCAAGAAGGCTTTGTGACAGCCCCTCTCCCAGGCTGGAGTTAAGGTTGGGGAAAAAAAATCACACTTGAGAGACAAGCTTCTCGCAGGGACATCGCATTTGATGTCGCAAAAGGCATGTAGGTCTTTCAGTGAGGAGAAAGGAGCAGGTTAACCGGCCAGGATGCTAATACGTGCGATGAGCTAGGTTTTGGCAAGTCCTGCCTGTGCTGTTTGCAAGACTATGAGAACTTCCAGCGTTGGTCTAATTAAACGGACTGTTCTCCTGAAAAATTCCACAGACACTTGATTTATTGATTTAGGTCTTAGCAGAAAAGGGCAACATTCTTCCAAGGTCCGGGAGGGTGTGTTGCACACAGGCAGCACTCAGTACATAAGTGCTGGGCAAATGGATGGACGGATGAACTTATTTACTGACTGACTCCCTTACTTCAAACGCCCCCCCCCCCCGCCCCCCGCAGCACAAGTGTGGAAAAGCAAATAGCCATCCGGGCATTTCTCCCCTAGTGGGGCCGCCACACACATAAACACAGGATTAAATGCAAGGCAGCAAACACGATGCCACAGGCATCTGAACAAAAACGCTGTGGGCTTGTGCGTCACATGGTGGGGGGGGGGAGCCTGTGCCCTTGGAAGATGTCGGATGTTGTCCCAGGACACAAAATGGGACCCATTCGGCTTCTAGGAAATACTCGATCGTTTTATAAACAACTGGAGATCCTAAACGTTTGCAAATCTCACTACATACGCGTTTGCGTGCCCTGGTTTGGAGACGGCAGCATTCTTAAACTGGGATAAACCACAGCCCCTATGATTTCTAGTTGGACAACACTATGTTTTCCCGAGAAATCTCAAGGTGTGGAGCACAGAGGTGCTCTGGAAACCTTTTCGGCTGCAAAGCTCCCGTGTCACAAAGCAATTATGAGTCAGAACCTTCTGTATCAGCAGCAGTGTATGGCTGCCTTCTCTAGCACCAGGTCACGGGGCCAGATCATTCTGTCTTTGGGCAACTGTCCTGAGCAATTTTTCCTCTATTGGCCGAATAAGTAAAAGGATGGACTTTTCACGTTATAAATCTATTGCAGTTCTCTCTTACGTAAAATAAACATATAATTTCTTTGCCTTTAGCTGATACTGGCTTAGAAGTCACTGGTTAAAACCTCTTTCCCAGGAAAATGTTCTTTCCATCGGTGTGAACAAAAGCCCTAAGTGTGTAATAAAATAAAGGTGCGGTACACACGAGGGATCCACGGGCAGAGAAGTTCCTACATTCGTGTACATCCATGATTTACTTGAGGTCTCACTTTTTATCTTATCTGGTTCAGGGAGACTTCATAAAATGCCTAATCGGGTCTGTCCTAAATCTGAAAAGATGAATGTTCAGTAAGATGCTTTACATCCAAAATGCTAGGTTTTTTAAATTTTTTGGGGGCGCACTTGGGGGGCTCAGTCAGTTAAGCGTCCGACTTCGGCTCAGGGCATGATCTCACGGTTCGTGGGTTCGAGCCCCGCGTCGGGCTCTGTGCTGACAGCTCAGAGCCTGGAGCCTGTTTCGGATTCTGTGTCTCCCTCTCTCTCTGCCCCTCCCCTGCTCACGCTGCCTCTCTGTCTCTTTCAGAAAGAAATACAACATTAAAAAAAGATTAAAAAAAATTTTTTTGTGATGTGATTTATACACCATAAAATTTCATAAAATTGAAGCACACAATCTGGGGTTTTTTAGTGCAACTGAAACAACTGCAACGCTTGTGAGATTGTGCAACTATCACTATTACATGATTTCGAACAGTTTCATCACCTCCCCCAGAAAACCCCAGAGCCATGGAACATTCCCGGCCCCTGCCCCGGTGACGCTGTCTGTGTCCGTCTCTGGAGCTGCCCGTCCAGGGCTCCTCCTGTGGATGGTGTCACACGACACCTGTTCTTTCCGGCCTGTCTTCCCTCACGAGCCTGGTTTTGAGGCTCACCTGCGCCTCGGGGGCTCAGAACCGCAGTCCTTTCTGCGGCTGAATGACCCCCCACTGCTGGCGCACTGCCTTTTGTACCCGTTCATCAACTCGTTGGGCCTTTGCTTCCACTTTTTGGCTTTTATCGTAATATGCTTTGCACGTGTGTGCGCGGTTTCCGCGTGGGCGTGTTTCCGGCTCTCTTAGGTCACGCGGAGGGTGGGCGGTCTGGGGGGCGGGCGGCAGTCCCCCGCTGACTGCTGGGGGGCCCTCGGACCATTTCCCACAGTGGCCGCGCGTTCACATTCTCACCGGGGAAGGTTTTAAGTTCCTCTGGCGCTCGCGGCCCTTGTGAATGGAGCACGGGGGCCTGAGCGCCGCTGGTCTAAATCTGTGCTCATTTTATAACAAAAGCCGTCAAGGACGTCCTATCAGCTCGGACGGACAGCCCTGGTGCCTCACCTTGAACCCTGGGAACCCAGGGATGCCGTGCTGGCCGGGGTCCCCCGGGCTCCCTTTCTTCCCCGGCTCCCCGTTGATGCCTGGCAGGCCCTTGGGTCCTGGCGGCCCCGGGAGGCCCCCGACGAACTGGTCGCCTTCCACACACTTACAGTCCCCAGCGTCACCTGCAACGTGCGGGAGGCGGGAAAACTTGTTATTGCTCGTGAAGCATGTGCTCTGCAGGGGGCAGAAGTCCAGGGCCAGGGCCAAGTCCAGAGCCAGGACCCCGGGTGGGAGGGAGGAATCGTGATCCCTTCTGTGTGGCCAGCAGGAATCGCTGCTGGTGGCAGGGGCTTCCCAGGGCACAGAAGACGGCGGGCAGGGGGACTCACAGGGAGGAGTCCTCTGCAGCCCTCCACGGTGACCGATTCCTGCAGTCGCCCCCCCCCCCACCCCGGGGTGCCAATGCGCCCTCACATCCTGCGTGAGCCACGAAGGTTGGGGTGTGCTGCTTGGGGCCCTGGGGCCGGCACCTCCCTAGGCGGAGCGTCTCCCCGGTGCGGTGGATTTCTTACACAGACACCCCCTCTTTCTGCTCGGTCGACTGCACCTCCACCAGCAGCGGGGGGTGAGCCCCGGGCGCCCCGCCGTGACTGATCCCTCACTCGGGAGACCAGCGGTCGTGACTAGTCTAAGGGAACTCAGTAGCCGACGAGCTCTCGCAGGGGCTTAGAGGCACTTAGGGGAATCATCACTCCTTTGGCCCCGTCCCGGGCTCCGCGCTCCCTGAAGGTTCAGTGACGCAGCGCAGACAGACGAGGGAGAAGGGAGGGCAAACCAGGGCTGGGTGCCCCGGCAGCGCCGTGGGGCCGTGCACCTGGCTCCGGGCAACCCCGTGGGGGGAGGGAGGCGGATGGGGACACGGAGGGTTGTTTCACGTCAGAGACGGCGAGGAGGGCCCGGCGGCTTCCCGGCCTCTCGCCCTTCCTCTGCGTTCCCCACGTTCCTTACCTTTCCAGCCTTTCTGTCCGCGAGCCCCAGGGAAGCCAGAAGGGCCAGGGTAGCCCGTCTCTCCTTCTGTTCCTTTAAGGCCGAAAAGGAAACCTAAGGAGAAGAGCACAGCATGGAGACCCCGCAGCTCCCCGGACCCAGGGTTGGGCGGGTTACTGGAGGTCCCTCAGCAGGGTGCGAGGCCATCCCGGGCACCCCTGGGCCTTCTGCGGCCACAGCTCCCAGCGATGGAAGGAAATGGGAGGGACCAGGAGGCCCACTTTTCTCGTGAAGTCTAGAGATAAAAATCTTTGCTTTTGGGAAATACTGAGTCCAAAGAAAGGCTTTCACTTTTCTACCATGTATTTTATTCTATTAAAAAAATATTTATTTATTTTGATAGAGAGAGAGAGCATGAGCAGGGGAGGTGCAGAGAGAGAGGAAGACAGAGAATCCTAAGGCGGCTTCCATGCTGTCAGCACAGAGCCCGATGCGGGGCTCGAACCCACAAACCATGAGATCATGACCTGAGCCGAAGTAGAGTCAGAGGCTTAACTGACCGAGCCACCCAGGTGCCCCATATTTTACCCTGTCTTTCAAAAAAATAGTTTATATTTAGTCTTCTATATGGTTTCAAACTCTGAATCACAAACACATTCCTTTATAATAATTTAAAAACGCAATTTTCATGTCAAAAAATGTATAGTCATTTATATACATCAAAGGGACAACTGACATCCTTACAATATTTCTGTGTAATCGACCACATATCTTATTTACGTGGTGAAGGCTTGTAATCTAAGACCAACACAAGCCTGGGGCCCCCAAAACACAGAAAACAAAACAAAACAAGACCTTCAAACGACCTCGGTCCTAATGCTCTGCCTTGGAGCAGGTGCGCAGCCGGGTTTGTGAGCTGGTGCAGAGAACGGGGGACCATCCGGCCCTGGCACGCTCACCCCCAGTAATAGGCTCAGGGCCCCTCAGACGCTCCCTGATTCGCAGCAGGGACACGGAAGGCATCGGAAATACGCTCTCTGGCCAACAGATCTCTCCGCGTCTATTGACGGCAGCGCCACCTCCTGGTGGGAACGAGCCTCACGCTCCCGGGAACCGCGGGCCTGAAGGATGGGGATGTCCCCCAGTCCGTCCTCAGGGCCCAGCCCTGTGGTGCTCACGGCCCCAGATCCCGCGCCCCCAGCCACCGGGAGGGGAGAAACAGGCCACTAAGGGGGCCGGAAGGGGAGGAACCACCGATTTCCACGTTTGCTGACTGCTGGGAAAAGGGACAGCGGAGCTTGGAGGTCAGCAGGCTCCTAAGGAACGGTCAATATTTATGACAGGTGGCGCGGCTATCGCCCCACGTAGCTCGGTCTCACTGTGCATTTACGACGATGTCTCTCATTCGTTCTCTGGCGCATCCACCATCTGCCCGCCCAGACGGCAGGCCCTCACGGTGCTTACGGTTTACACGTGGAGACACCGCAGACGCACACTGGTGAACTGACCGGCACAGAATTCCAAACGACGGCCAGCGCCCCTGAACAGGGAGCTCGCAGGGAGGGCAGAGCGAAAGCCCGTGTAGAATGGGGGTCAGGAAAGGCGGGGCTAGGAGCTGGCGCCCAGGACCCGAGGAATAAGAGGGGCTGGCCGAGAGTGGTCCCCAGGGGTCACTCCGGAGAGAACGAGCGGGTCTGCAGGCCCCTGGAGCAGGAAGAAAGCCAGGAACTGAAGGGGACTGCCGGGGCTTGGACTTTCTCCACGGGCAGTAGGGAGCCATCGAGGAGTTCTGAGGAGGGAAGTTGCACAAATTTACAGGTTAAAAACCTAGAGGCCGCCCTTGCAGACAGCTGAGTGGAGGCTGGTGCCGCGCGGGCTGCCTCGCAGACACACGCGCGGGGTGTATTCGAGCAGGACGGGGTGACCAGTGAAACACGCGGCGTGTGGGGTCGGGGGCTGGGCAGCAGGGACCCAGGCTCCGGTGGACACGCAACGTTGGAGATGTCTGTGAGGCAAGCCGGGAGGCCCTGTGACGGGCTGCCGGCGTGCGAGTCGGGGGCTCAATCCACACCTGGGTCGGGGACACAGGGAGTGCGGGCAAGTGGCCTGAGCTTAAGGTCACCAGCCGGAGTCCAGCCGGATGGGGGTCCAAGCCTGAACTTCAAGGAGCTCTGTCGCCTCCCAGACCGCGCAGGGGGGAGGAGGAGGGGCCGACAATGGGGCCTCAAAGAGAACGGCCAGCAAGATAACGGGGAACGGGGGGAGTCACGGGGGCCCGTGAAGGAAGCCCGCCTCCTGCATCTCGTGCTCACGGAGGAAGATGGCGGGTTCCTGGCGACCAGGTCAAGGGCATTCAGGCTGCTGTCGACTTTGTGGGCTTTATTTTATTATTTTATTTTATAACGAAAAAATTTTAATGTTTATTTGTTTTTGAAACAGAGTGAGAGAGAGAGCGAGCGAGAGAGCACACGTGGGGGGGGGGGCAGAGGGCAAGAGAGACACAGAATCCCGAGCAGCTCCAGGCTCTGAGCTGTCAGCATTCTGACTTCTAGAGAACAACGGAACTGCCTTAATCCTGGACTCAGTGAACTCCGCTCGAAGCAAGAGCAAGCACAATATTTAGTTGAGAAGAAAAATCGATTTCATGGTTTGATTCTGCAGGGAAGGGCAAAAGACTAAAAATTCTGGTTTCCATTCGCAGCAACATATAAAACAGAATGAAGTGTGGTTAAAGAGAAAGGAATCCGACAGTTTCATGGCGGGGGCAGGGCGGGGGGGAGACTTGGAGAACTCTGTGGGATTCAAGGTCACTGATAGTACATTATGAGTATGCACAAAAATACCCTAGAAGGCCGCTGGGGTTGGCTACTTCTTGTGCAAGAGATTGCTTTTAAACAAGCGATTTGGAAACAATGCATCTCACAGGGCAAAATAAATATTTCAAGGAGAATTTAGGTTCCATGCTATTAATATTGTAAGTTGGTAAAATGTCTTAGATACCACTCCATGTATTTTATGAATAAAATATGCACAAGAAACTAGTTGATCTGTTTACCGATAAGCGACGTTAGTAAATCACAGTCTTAGCGAACAGGATCTGTGCACCAAGGGGGTGTATCTTTAGCAAAACGGAATTTAGTTACAGGAATTGGGGCAAGGTCAGCCTTCAGTCAGTCTTCTAAAGAGGCAAGTTTTATGCTTTAAGAAACTTTTAACACATCATGTTCTGTTCCCAAAGAGGAAACCTTAACAGATAACATTTACTCAGGAAATATCACGCTCACAGAAACTTGGCCATTATCAAAGATGTCACAGCAGTAAATATTACTTCCAGGCTAAAAATATATTTAAGACAACACTGCTCAAACGATTTGGCAGATTCCAGGGAAATATCTGCACCTAAAAATTTCCAAAAGAATGTGATTCTGGCTTTGCCCGTTGAAGCAGCCTTGGCACGGGAGAACCACATTACTCAGAGATCTACTGTACGACATCAAATGGAACTGGAGAAGGGACTGCTGACATTTATAAAGCTCTTTTTAAGAAAAGTTTATTTATTTTAAGAGAGAGGGGAAGGACAGAGAGAGAGAGAGAGAATCCTAAGCAGGCCCTGCACTGTCAGTGCAGAGCCCGACGTGGGGCTCGAACTCACGAACTGTGAGATCATGCCCTGAGCCAGTGAGAGGCTTAACCGACCGAACCGCCAGGTGCCCCCAGGACCGGCGATTTTTCAGTGGAAGAAGTGTGTGCAGATGCACTGCTGTAACCCCCAACACCTTTCCTCCAGGGATGGCCGAGAGAAGCAGTCTTCCCAAAGCAAAGAAAGCACGGGTCTGAACCTGACCTTTAAAGTGAAATCAACACCGCCCGTTAGCAGCGTGATGCTCTCTGTCCCCGAAGAGAGGGGGCCCCCAGAGACTAGGGGGGGCAGGATGCTAGGAGCTTCAAGTCAGATACCGCGAAAAGAGGCTGATGAGTGGTGGATCATACCATACAGAAGGAAACCGGGACCTCGCGATTTCTTCCAAAGCCTCCTTGATCCAAACCCCTGAGGGGATGGACCGTTCGCATTCGGGGATTTTACAACGTCTGAAACAACCCTTTAAACTCCGAAGCTGAAAAGATGACCGCGTGCGCTGGCATGCTCAAGGACGGCCTGTCCATGTCCCCGACCCCTGGGAGCATCCGCAACTCAGGGAGAGCAGGGTGACAGGAACCTGGTCATTCCGCTCAGTGACACCCCCGGGCGGCACGGGGTCCCGAGGCTCCAGCTCGTCTGCTTTACGCTCAGTCTTAGATCTCGGCCTTGGCCGGCCGTGGCCGCCACTTCTGTCACGGTGAGGCGGTCACCTCTTCCTGTGGACTCTTACCGCCTGTTCAGTGAGAGCTTTGGCTCCGCGTGGGCCGAGAAGGCCGACTGCCACATCTGCTAAGGCTGCGGCCAAACTGACAGAGGCTACACGTCCGGCGGGAGCCTCCGCCCTGGACGAAGGTGACGGAAGAAATCACACAGACACCCGACAGCGGTCAGCTCGCACCTGCCCGCAGACCGGTGGCTCAGGCGTCCCCGTGCGGAGCCGGCCTCACGGACGCAGTCGGCCGAGCCCCCCCACCCCCGCCCCCGGAACGGCCACGGGCCTGCTGCTGCCCTTCCTCCACCACTAGCTTTTCTGTGCGCGCCCGGAGCAGCCTGGCGCTCCGCACTGGTTCACGGGATGACTTCGTAGAAAAGGCCCAGGAGAGACCTGGCCGGGGCCAGCCTGCTGTGTCTGCGCACGAAAGCCACCCCTTGAGCTTCCTTCCACTTACCGTCTGGTCCAGGTGGTCCAGCAGGCCCGGGGGGCCCCGGGAGCCCCGGCTTTCCGTCCGCTCCCGGAGGGCCTGGGTACCGCGCGGGGATGCCCGGGTCTCCTAGGAAGCCTTTGGGCCCCATTTCACCCGGCAGACCTCTCTTGCCATCTGAAAAGACACAGCGACCACCAGCAGCATGAGACTCGTGACGGCATCTGTGTCGGCATCCCCGTCCCCGGGAGGCCACCGGGACCCGCGGATCTACAGTCCGGCCGGGACCTCAAGGGGGATGCGGTCGGTGGGCCCCATCGCCATAGCTGCACTTTAAAAAAGCCCCTCCTCTCGCTCCAGACGATGGTCGGACAGCCGTGAGCCTGGCTGCGGAGGGTGCGGCTGCCCACGCTCTTCCCGGCCAGCCGGCCCAGAAGACACCGGGCGCAGGCAGTGAGCCCGTTAGAGCCGCTGCGCCTTGTCCGCGAGAGCGCCGCGCCGTCAAGAAGGGGCCGTCTCTGTGTCAACCCCGAGGGGACGGACGTTTGGTCTTACTTTTGAGAGCACGCAGCCATTACCTTCGTCTCCGATGGACGTGCCGGGGGGGCCTGGGGGGCCGGGGTCTCCTGGTTCGCCCCGGCTTCCTGGCTCTCCGTGGGCCCCTGGGGATCCTGGGTCGCCTCTGGCACCTGGAACCGGACAGACTCCAGTGAGCACAGGACGCGTCCGGGACCCGCTTCGGATGTGCACGTTTCCCCCAAACACGTATTTACTCGTATGTCTCGTACACTGACGGACGGTGGGGCTCCGAGTGTTTACTCTACGGGGTCTCTGCTTTTCAGGAGCTCACTCCTAATCAGATAGGGGCGATCCAAGATTCCCATAAGTGTCATAAGCAATAGGGAGGCAGAGGATGCCAGCAAGTTACAGATCTCCGTTTCAAAAGGGGGAGAGATTCTTTCGGGGAGAAATCGGACATTGAGGGAAGATAGAGAATAAAAATCCTGGGAGGAGGCAGCACTTCGGAGCTCTTGCTGTGTGCACTGGGCTCCGTGTTTAATCCTCTCCCGATTCCCATAAACCGTGGGGTGGGGAGTGAGGTAGCCCCACTTTTACAGACACGCGAGGCCTCGTGGCCACGGGCACTCGGCAGCCCGACAGTGGGATGCAGGTGCACTTTGACGGGGCCGGGAGACGGGAGGGGGAGGGCGGTGGCGGGAGGGCATCCGGAGAGGAGATCAGCCAGTGGAAAGCAGCGGGCCGGGCGCGCCGGGCTCGGGCGGGAGAGCGGGACCGTGAACGGGGAAGCGGGCTGGACGGGCAGCCGGGTCTGGAGTGGGAACGAAGAGGGAAGCCACAGTACCGGGACCCCCGTGCACCAGGCTCCATGCACGAAGGCCAGGAGGCGAGGAGGGTGGCTTCCTGCGTGAGGCCCCTGGTCCCCAGAGCCCCAGCTCCCCGCAGATCCGCTCTTCCCGGCTGTCTGCGGGGGGACAGCATATGCGAGCGCTCTCACAAACCCTATCCCAAAACAAACACACAAAGTGGCTTCGCCGTGCTCTCTGCAGGTAAACGGCAATGCTTTACTGTGCAACACACTGTTTTTCCTGAACACAGTTGGGAAAGATGAGAGAAAAGACAAGACAATATGATGTTTTACCACATAGGTGTTAACAATTGTCAGGAAAGCCCTCTTTACTTTTTTTTTTTTAAAATCTCAAAAGCAAGCCCTTGAATTAAGGATGCCTGTGTGCCTGTGTACATCCCTGCGGAGGGGGGTGGGGGAGGCATGCTGGGATCGCACACGGGGGGCCGGCGGCTGAAGCCTGCTCCCCCACTCACTTATAGTGACCTTGGGCAAGTTACTTAATTTCCTGTGCTTCAAGGTCTCCGCCAGCAAAACAGGACTAACATCAGGCACATCTCAAGGGCCAGTTAGGAAAAGTAAATCCATCATCAAGGATGAGGGTCTAACAAACTTAGACCCTTGCCCGTGCTCCGGCCAGCACTGCGTAGATGCCAGCCATTAGGGCTGAATAAGAGACGAGATTAAAGGGAAAACCACGGATGCTCCCATTTGTTTGGAAGAAGAGCAAGATTACTTGTTTTAGTTACCTTGCAACCATTAGAAGAAGAAGAAGAAAAAAATACAAGTCCCCCCTGCCCTTTTGGATCCCGACAGCTCCTGCGAGGCTACTTGGTGAAGGTATTTATTTTCCTCTCTTCCCTGAGGGAACCCGCTCGTCAGCCTGTGGTGCCCAGGAGCCCTCGCCTGCCAGCTCACCACTTTAAGACCATCACCTTCCCAGTGTGGTTTCAGAAATACAGGGTGGTGGGCAGCTGGGGGTGGGGGGAGCTGGATCAGCTCCGCGTGCTCGCGCAGTGAATGTTTTTGAAAAATCGCCAACGTTAATTTAAAAAATTATGTTCCCAAAGCCTCAAGGACAGTATTTGCATTTCACCAGAATCACAGAAAGTATGTCACCTTCCTGTTCCTTTTCCTGGGGTTTCTGTCCTGGGAGGCGTGTTGGAGTCCGTGGACACCCCACGTACCCCACGGACCCCTCATGAACCCCACTGACACCCCACGGACCCCCCACGAACCCCAGGAGTGCCAGCCGTGCAGGGAGGGCGAGGTGTTGAGCAGGAGTTCGAAATATACCCATTTACCGGGATGTGTTCATTTGCAAGAACGCCACGTGCAGCTGTACTTGGGGAGGGGGACCAGCGGTGTTTTTCCAACACCGCCCTGCACAGAACTCCCCCGGGGGCTCGGCCAGGATGTCCTCAGCCCTGTGCCAGTGTAAGTTCTCACCAACAACAGGTGAGCACGTGCAAAGGCTGTTCTTAACCTGACAGACGGTCGGCACCAAGCAGGGGAGGGAGCCCTCGACCCGCGGACACACACCGGGCGCAGGAAGAAAACGTCAGACCATCTTTAGATAAAACACCTCACCCTTTAAAATCCCTTCCTGACGTGTACAATTTAGCACATGTGCTGTTCAGCCGCTCAGGTAGCCTCCTCTCTGCCTGGTGCTGTTCTAGAAACAGGGCACACAGCAGTGGCCCACAACGGCTGAAATCCCTGGAGCTTTGCACAACACGGATAAATCCCCCGTAAGTAAATACACGTGGGGTTACTCAGAAGGGTGCCGGCAACTATTTTTTTAACCTAGAAGGACTCACATCCAAAAAGGTTCTGAGCCTACTGTTCTTATCACAGAACTAGACGTCTTTTGGTACCGATCCTGCCGAGCTGGGAGGCTGAGTGAAGTCACGAGATGGGCGTTGGCTAAGACACCCGCCAAACCCTTCCCCCCCTTAAAAGGAGGTGGCTGTTTAGAGATTATGGATGGCCAAGTTCAGGCTTCAGACTGGCCAGCAGGGGGCGTCAGCATCTGGGTGCCCGTGGGGCAGAAGCCAGAGAGGGCGGCAGGGATTCCCGCCAGGGAGGCGGAATGTGCCCAAGGACTGGGTTTCTCCAGTGACTTTACAGGTGGCGAAGCCAGAATCTGCACAACGCATGCAGGAGGCAGGGCTCGCCCAGCAGAGGGCGCTCAGGCACCGGCGAAGGCGCGCCTCTCCGTGGCGCCACATTTAAGCATTTGAGGGAAGTTGTACACTAGACTGATGTTCTCCACAGGTTATGTTCTAAACATCTTTTGTTTCGCTTTGCCTTGTTTTACTTAGAAAACCTTTCTTGCCCGTTTATGACTCTGCATCCGAAACAGAAGAGAAGCCTGTGGGATGTAAACACGCAGGGGAAATCACATACACACCTTTGGCCAGGGAGGGGTGAGGCGAGTATGCAGGTGCGCCTGGGGGGCCGCGGTCACCCACTTCTCCCTGGAGGAAGGAAAGAGGAAGACGGGAGGATGTGAGACCCGCCTTTTGGAGTTTTGGAAACGACGCCTCCTTCCAGGGCATGAAGCTGAATGTGGACCTTGGGCTGGGGCGCCATCTCCGCTTGGCTGCGGGGTGCCCGGGCATTCCAGCCGCCAGCCAGACGCACCAGCGGGCAACAGGGCGGGCAGGCACCGGCCTCGCTTTGGAGTCCTTGTTTAACACCGCAAGTGGCAGGGACGACTTTCTGCAGTGTAGACGACTCCTGCGTGTGCCCCAGCCACCCATCTACTACCAGCTTGCGCCACACCCAAGCTGGGTGCGATGCGACTATGCCCTGATCTGGATTGTGAGACGGAAACTTTCAAGTGCTGCCTTCGTGTCCTTGAGCCTCCCGGCCGCCCCCCCCGAAGGCCTAACCGCTGAACTCCCCTGTCCTCACTAGAGCCGCTCCCACCAGCAGGAAAGTCTCCTTGCCTGGCTGGGTCCCCGTCACCTGGTTCCCCGCAGCCCACCTGATCCCCAACCTACTGGGCCTCACCTCCCTGCCAGCCCTTTCTTCAAACAAGCGCATCAGATCCCCCCCTGGGAACAGGGAGTACCTCCCCCTCCTGTTACTGCAGAGCCTGTCCCCACGGCCTCACTGCTCCACTCTGCTCCTGGGTGCAGGTCCTGAGTGTGGCCTCCATGTGCCCTTGCGTGGCGTGCAAGGCCGTGTGGCCCGGACGCATGACCGATAAATCCATGTCTATCTCATCCGTCCAGTGTGGGGTGTTGTGTGTTTGTGTAGCTAGTATTACACAAGACAGAGGATGCCTCCTCCGATGGGGTGAATGGCAAGAGATCAGACCTCCAGCCAGAGGAAAAGTGAGCTCACCTTGGGTCCTGGGGGTCCATCGGGCCCTTGATAACCATCCAGTCCTTTGCTTCCCTGTAGGAAAGATGTTCAGTGCTTATTTTCACCTCTAATATAGAATGTTAAGAAGTGACCACAATACCATTATTATGGCTGATAAAACTAACAACAGTTCATTAAAATTACCCACTACCCACTCTGTGCCCAGTTTTCCCTGATTGTGGTCACAAAGTCTAAATGTGACATGTAGCTGATAGGTCTCTTAAGCCTCATAATTATTTAAAAACTTTTTAAAATACTTATATTTAAAAAGTATTTTTAAAATACTTATATTTTAGAGTTAGAGCATGAGCAGAGAAGGGGCAGAGAGAGGGAGACACAGAATCCGAAGCAGCTCCAGGCTCTGAGCTGTCAGCACAGAGCCCGACGTGGGGGTCGAATTCATGGACTATGAGATCATGACCTTAGCCAAAGTTGGATGCTGAACCGACTTAACCCAGGCGCCCCAGCCTCGTAATTCTTTTTTTTTTTTTTAATGTTTTTAAATGTTTTTATTTATTTCTAGGAGAGAGAGAGAGAGAGAGAGAGAGAGAGCGTGAGCAGGGGAGGGTCAGAGAGAGAGGGAGACTCACAGACTGAAACAGGCTCCAGGCTCTGAGCTGGCAGTCAGCACAGAGCCCGACGCGGGGCTCGAACCCAAGAACCGCGAGATCATGACCTAAGCGAAAGTCAGACGCTTAACCGACTAAGCCACCCAGGCGCCCCCAGCCTCGTAATTCTTAATAGGTTCCTTCTCCTTTCTACTTTTTTGGTAACTTTTGTCATCGTTGCTGTTGAGGAAATTGGTACCACTGGTGGAAGCAGTCCAGTCTTCCTTGTGGTGTGGATGACGTGTGGTCCCTCTACAGCAGCGATTCTATCTACTGGCTTCCCGGGGCTCAAGGGCACCTTCTGAGCAAGAACTGTTCACAGGGCGTGTTGTGTCCTTCCTACTCTGTCACTTCAGGAGGCACGGGGGCCGGGTGCCCCACTTCAGTGATTCTATGATTGATCCATCGATTCAAACCTCCCCCAAGAGGGATTTTGAAAAATTTTAGTGAGCACCAAAAAGAAGCATTAATGAATGCACCTCAATTTAGAATTCTTCTCTTCATTTAAAGGTGCCCAGCGCTGCTTTCTAATTCTCTTGAATGTTTATTGGAAGAGAATTACTCTCATGAGCCACATCATGGCTGGATATATATGTAAAGTTTTTTAAAAAACCTAGAAATTCATTCCCTCTTGCCAACATTATGAATGTGAGGCCCCAAATTCAGAATACCAGGTATCAGTGGTATAAAACATGCACAGTCTGGCTGTTTTCCAGGATATTCTGGAATGCTGGGGCTCATATGCTGGATGTTCTGTGTTTAGCATAAGCAACGATGGGGTTAATTTTGTGCTTTTCATGGCAGGCCTGTGATGTGAACGGGCTTCCTTTCACACTAGGTAGAGCTAGAGACTCAGCAGTGAAGGCTAATTTCTCCGATGTCCCTGATCTCCTCCTTGGAGGCCATCTCTTGAGATAGGCGAGGCATCCTCAGGGAGCTTGCCAACGGGCGGAGCCGGCAACAGGCGCTCGGTTCTCAGCTGCGTGTGCCCACGTGACAACTCAGCCCTGACGCCTGCTGGACGCTGCCAAACGTGCATGTCGTCCTCGTTCTACGCGCCTGAGCGTCGTCCGGCTGGGTGTGGCGTCAGCACTGAGCAGTGGTGGGCGCCCCGGTAGGAGGTGCGTACCACGCCACGACAGCACCAGCATTTTCGAAATGTGTCTGAGCAAAGGTGTGGAATGAGCCAGTTACCACTGAAAACCGCAGGGGAAAGGGCGACACTGAGGAGTGCTCAGGGTGACGCTCACGACTGGCTCTCTCTGTCTATGCATCTCTCTATTGGCTGCGGGAACCCCAAGAGCCAAAACAGTGATCTAGAAGTTTCCCTGTGAGTTCTCAGCAGCTGGTGAACGGACTGGGGGGTGGGGGTGGGCTGCGTATTATGTAGAACTCAGCAGAGGAATGGGAGAAATTTGTGCTTAGGTTCACGTAAGACCACAGGCAGCGGAACCCAACTGTCAGGCACACCAAGAGTCGAAACAACTCTAAAGAGTTGTCTTTGTGTTTTGGGGGGGAGGCAAGGGCTGTGCAGTCAAGGAGGAATTATCTTGTCAAGTGAGATGATGTTCAGTGCCCACCGTGCAGTCTCACGAGCAGGGACTCCACCATTTGTATGCGTCCCGGGCACTTCCTATTTGTATGGTTGAGTAAACTGTCTCTCCGCAGAGACGTCCCACTTGGCCGGAAGTGTCCCCGTCCTCCCCTGGAAGATGTGGGCCTTCGATGCTAACATGTGGCCGCAGCAGTTAGAGGCCCCAGGTGGTCGGTGTCTAGCCCGGCGTCTTGTCTCACATAAACAGCGAGTTCCAGGGGCAGCTGTAACCGACCACATTGAAAAAAACCCTACGTAGCTCCCGAGTGCCGGGTGTAGGAAAAACCCAGAATTATGACTCCCTGGCACGCGGCAGGCAATGAAAGTATGAATACAGCACTTCGGTTCTGCGGGCGGTGGAGACGGATCCCTTGTAGATGCTCATGTTTGCCTCAGTTCTCTGTCTCTTCACTTGATTAATGAACTCCCCACACTGGAATTCGGCCTTGTGGCCTTTGGTTGGGGTCAGCCTGGACAGCCGTCTTCCCGGAGCGCTGCCTTTGGGGGCACCCGAGTCAGTTACTAATGTCACGAGAACATGGCTGCGATTAGGGAAAGCCTGGTGTCGGCTTCCCGGCCTGAGTCTGGGATGAAAGGACCGGAACGGGAAGAGTAAGACGAGCCAAGGCTGCGGGCAGGAAGGGGTCGAGGCTGGTCCCGCTGTGAGCGGGTTAGCCGAGGGTCAGCAGCGCCCGGGTCTAGAGCCAGGGCCGGTCGGAAGCCGAACCCTGGAGGCCGAGTGCATCTGAAGTCCCCGGACAAAGGGCGGGGGCGGGAGGGCTCCCCGTGGAGGCTGATGAGCCCCACATCCTGGTGTCCACATGGCTCACTGCTGCCCGCAGGGTGGTGCCCGGGCTTCCACGGAGTCATGATTCAGGGGCTGAACTGATTTTTAAAAAGTCTATGTCTCTGCACTTCCTGGGACCGAATGATGGAAATCCTGGCCTCTGGGTGCCGGGAGGTTTGTCCCCATCATGTGGCGGCATGACGGCTGCACACGGCAGCGGCTGGAACCTCGGCGAGGGCTCGTTAGGCATGTACGGCGCGTCCTTTTCCTGAAACGCCGTGTCGCCTGCTCCCACGACCCTGTGGACGCGCCCGTGCTAGCGTGGAATAATCTCTAACGCATGGTGGTGAGGAAAACACGCGCCTTGAACTTACTTTTTGTCCTGCTGAGCCTTTTTCGCCATCGAAGCCGGGCGCACCCTGGGTTGGGACAGAAAACAGAAGCGATGACCCCTCAGAACCTGTGGCATCGCTTCCCGGAGGGCACGGTCACGGCCCCTGACGCGGGCTAACGTGAAATGCTTTACTATGAAGTATCAAAACCACCTGAAGACCCTCTTATTTTCTGAAGGAGGTGGGTCATTTTAGGGACACTTTCATACGATGCGTCACATCTAGTGCCTAAAGAAATACGGAGAAATCTAGAAGGACGGTACGGTCCAATCGGTAAAGGTATTGAAAGAGCCGCACTCCAACTTTCTCAGGGGTCTCTTCCTATTTTCAAAGATTCTAACGCGAGTCTTTTTAGCGGCAGTGGCTACCAGAGGGCCATCACAAGGCCACTCTGCCTTTGTTCTGGCCCACGGCTCTGGCCACATTTCCCAGCGCACTTGCGGGTAGGAGTGGCAGCTGACCGAGCTCTGGCCGATGGAGGGAGGACAGAGGGACAGGCGCCATCGGAGGGCACGCTCTGAGGACGGAGGTCTGCCCTCGGGCATGGGAGCCACGGGCGCTGAATGTCCGTGGGGGAGACACCCCCTGAGCCCCAGCACCCCACCCACGGTCCTGCTCGGGGTGCGTCGGACCCTCGGGGAAACGAATCAGCTTCTTGTGTTGGGGACGGTCTACATTTCTGTTCCCACAGGGGAGATGTCTCTGTGCTCTGCCCCCGCCTGCCTGCAGTGGAGACAGAGACTCCAACATCAGTTACTAGGAGGGACGGCGGGTCCACGCCACGGTCAGCGGGCCACTCTGGCCGGGACGCTGGCAGTGGGGCGGCTGTGCGTGTGAGGCGGAGGGTACGTGGGGCTTCTCCGTGCCTCCAGCTCCACCTGCAGGGAACCTCGCGTCTGCTCTGAAGATTGGAGTCTACTTAACACACAAGCAAAGCAAACCGCAGCTACGGGACACATCGCTTACCCGTGCGCCCGAGAAGCCCATGACGCCTTCTTCTCCCTTCAAGGAGATGCCCTAGGAGAGAAGAGAGATGAGAGGTGAGGCAGCGGCCCGCCCACTTCACCCCTTCGGGGTTCTAGCCCCCTGGGACTCCCCAGGTCCCCAGTCTAGCCCTGCATGACATGGGGTCACAGCATCGATCCAGGACACTGCCGGCATCATCACACAGCGGGTGACGCCCGGGAGGTGACAAGGACGGAAGATGGCACAGCAACGACGTGCTGGGCTCAGAACCCGAGCCGCCGCCAAGCCCGCTGGGCCCTCCGCCTGCACACCTGCTCTCTTAAAGTGCCAGCGTTCAGTTCACGAACCCCAGGACGTGCTGGTTAGCTGGTGTGTGTTATGCAAAAAGGGAGACATTCTAAAATTGTTTTCTGAAAAGCAATGTCACAGCGCCGCCCGGTGTCACAGGTGGAGCTGCTAGAGCCCCATGCGTGGTCACCGGGGGTGGGGGCGGGGTGGGGGGCCCCCAGCGAGAGGAAACCAAGCTACTGAGCAGCTTACCTTTCTTCCCGGCTCCCCCTCACTCCCCTTTTCGCCCTGTGAAGACAACGAGGCGTAAGAAAGGCCATTGATTCAAGAGCAGAAATGACGGAGGGGGTTTACGATAGCAGAGAAGTAATCCGTGCGACGGTGAACAGTGACTGTGAGTGAATCATAATAAACAGCTCCTACCTTTTGCAGCTTTAAACCCCAAGAGAAAAAAAAGTGTGATTTCTTCTGGGTTTTCCCAATATCGGTTAAATCCCCAGTCACGTCTGGTAGGACGGGGAGGGCCGGTCTGCTCTCTTCGCAGCCCCCCCATCGCCCACAGCCCGCGTCTGCTCTCCACGTGCCCCCCTCCCCACAGCGCGGGCCCACGGTGACGTTCGGTGGCAAAGGGCGTGCCCGGGAGGAGCCCCCAGCGATGGCGTTCGTTTGAATAAGAGAGTCTTAGGGGGGTCCTCAGGGGAGAAGACACACTTGGGACATATTAAGACCCCAAGCAAAGCAGGCTTCATTATACGCAGGGTCAGTTTTACATGATCACTTTTTCCCATTCCTCTTGGTCTAAAATGGTGCAAGACATGCAGTGGCCACGGGTTCTTTCCCCCATCGCTGCCGAGACGGCACCGGGACCCCCGTCACTCGCAGCGGCCTCCTGGAGGCTGGCCGGGCCCTGGCGCCCCCGCCCCCGCCCATCTTGTCGCAGAAGCTGAAGGCTACCTGATGCACAAGCGTGCGTCTCTCAGCAGCGATCACACCTGCTCTGGCCTCCCTCCCTCCTTGGCTCCTGTCCTGAAACTGGGCAGAGGCCCTACCTGGCTGACGGTCAGGGCATCAGCAAGAGCCAGAGTCCCGCCTGGACCCCCCCCGATGACTCGATGGGGCCCCTTCTTGCCTCGACGTCCAGGGACATCCTGCTCTAAGCTCAGCGGGCTCACAACCGCCTGCACCCGACACACTTTCCCCGGCGTTCCGTCTCACACGAGCCGCCACCCAAGCCACTTGGGTCAACGGTCAGGTGGCTGTTGCCCGGAGAGATTCGTCCCTGAGGCCTGCCTTCTCCCAGCCACGGCCGAGCACCCAAACCCCATCTGGACTGGTACTTGAGAGTCGGAATTAGACTCCACGTTTGGGGTTTTCACTTTGGTTCCTGGGCACTGTCTGTGTCTGACCTAATCGGGGGCGTTCACCCGATGGAGTGGTCTCCATTCAGCAGCGATATGAGGTTGAGTGTTATCGACTGCCTCCCTCGGGCACAAGGGAGCCCTGACCTTTGGGAAGGTCCGGTGGCCCATCTGAGCAAGTGAGTGCTACCACAGGGTGTTAATTTAAAAAAATTTTTTTAAAGTCTATTGATTTGAGAGAGAGAGAGAGAGAGAGAGAGGAAGGGGAGGGGCAGAGAGGGAGGGAGACACAGAATCCCAAGCAGGCTCCGCACGGTCAGCACAGAGCCCGATTTGGGGCTTGAACTCACGAACCGTGAGATCATGACCTGAGCTGAAACCAAGAGTCAGGCCCGTAATCTACTGAGCCTCCCAGGGACCCCTTAATTTCGATTTAGATGCCAAGACTACACTTCTAATCAACCAAAATGTTAACAGAAATGATAAAAGTCAGAAAACTGACTTTGGTGTGAGAACGCCCGCCGTGATGCTCCAGCTCAGCAAAGGTGAAAAGTAGGTCTATTTTGCCAAATACAACATTTTGCTCAGACTGTCCCACGTCCTGGCTCCGAACTACACCCGGACCATTTACCCTGGGCCTGCACAGGAGAGCTCCATAGATCGGAGATTGTTTCGTGAATTCTCGTGTTGTTTCAAACTTGTCACGGTTTTTTAAGATGATGGACCAGTGCACCTAGGTGGGCAGTGTCTTCGTGTATGATGGGCCAGCTGGCTGCAGAGGACTCTCCCACTTGGCGATTGTTTTTTTTTTTTTTTTTTTTTTTTAGTTCAACTGGGAACACAGTCAACTATGCTGAAGTCCCTTTACCTTATATTGATCTGGGTGGAACATTTCCTTCATGGGCCCGATGATGGCGTGCTGGAGGTCTGATGGAATCCCATTGGGTCCTGGCTGTCCCATATCGCCCTGTGAACAGTGTCACAAAAGCAGTCATCTTTACATTGGAAAGACACTATCAAGGGTGAACCAGAGCACGACTACAGCCATCTCTACTTTTGTATATTAGCGACCATAAGCACCCCAATTTTGTATTGTTACAATCACTGTATGAAATAAATGATCATAACGTAACATCACTTGTGTCCTCCTTGCGTTCATAACCATTTGCAATTTATTCATAAACGGTGTTGAGGTTGTTCATGAGTGTGGGTTACGTTTGCTTCTGTGGGGTCAGTTCCTTATGATGGAGCCCGTACGAGGGCTACATGTCTTCACATCAATGTATTTCTTCTACGGCGTCCCAAGATTGGGACCCAGGTGTACAATATGCCTGAGAAAGGAGAGACTCTCCAGTTTTACCCCAGCTACACTTGTCAGGGTGTTTTTATAGAATAAAAAGTAGCTTCTTCAATAAACAGAATATCTCAAGCTTTACTTGCATTTTTATCATTAGCAAGAGACACTTCTCATGCAGTGCACAGATGCTAGAAGCTACTGATTTGCAACAATTAGACAAAGATTCTCGTCTAAGAAGGGGTTTCATCGACCAGGAACTAATTGACACAAAAAGAAACCTATTGTCTTTTCTTGGCATTTCCACATGCAAGCTCCGTAATACACAGGTGAGCCCAGATGTCATGTAATGTGAGCAGGAGCAAAGTGACATGACATCGCTGCTAACATTAACTCTAAAAATTAGAGATTAACTCTGATCATCTCCCCTTTACCTATCAGAGCCTTGCTACTTGATTAATATTTGAGTCAACTCTTTGGAGATTATGCACATTTGCTTCATTTCCATCCCGTCTAAAGTGACGACTCTCCCTCTGCCCAGTAATTTCTTCCCAGGCTTTTCTTCTTTTTATGTTATTTTACTATTTTGTCATATTTTATTGTACAGGTGCTTACATTTTTATGGGTTTGGATTTTTCAACGTTCGCCTTTGTCAACTTCTTTCTACAGTATTAGCACAAAGAAAAAGTCTTTCTCTTCGGACCTGGGCAGTACCGGATTCCACTCAGCGTGTGTTCGGTCAAACAGCCCAATGGGAAAACAAAATGAAAATTCACAGTGAGGCCCCAGCACAGACGTAGCTCATGGTGGCCAGTAGGTTTTGTGGTGAGTGTGACCGGTTATGTGTTGGTGAGCCTCTGCCCGTGGCGAGCCACCTGCCGCATTGAGCATCTCACACGCGTGGCCTCAAAGGATGCTCTCAAAAGTGCTCGGTCTTTTCGTGTTGGTGACGCAGGGGATGACAGACGCCCACACGGTCTTCCTGCTTGCCTGTGAGCCCGTGGGGGTGGGCTGCCTGGTCCCTGAGCAGGCGCCGTGTTGTGGGTCCCCGTTCAGTTGCTCCATTACCTCGAGGTCTGCACATTGGGAGACACCTCGGGGCAATGCCTTTACTTTGTGGGTGCTGCAGACACAGGGTCTAACCTAGACTGTGGCTTCCGCCATCTTAGTGGCCCCTCACTATACTGGAGCGTTTCCCCTTGCCTGGCACTTTACAGCGGTCATTTCCTGTGCACGTGTCAAAAGACAACTGCGTGAGCAGCAGTCAGCAAAATGATTTATTTCCGAATTGCTAAGCAGGCCTCCGCTTTAATCTATTAATTATGTCCTTACCTTCTCACCCTTCTGTCCATAAAAACCAAGTCCTCTGTTGCCCTGAAAAGAGAAATGGTTTTTCTAAGTTTTGCAAAGTCATTAATCACAAACAAATATTTTTTTTTCTTAGAAAAAGAGATGTAAGCTCTATCTACTTGCAAAATACTGAACAGTTATCTTTGCGTGATACGCTGGCGTCCCCTCTCCAAAACTATTTGATGCAAAAAAAATTAACGTCTTTTCTTTTGCGAGTTCCACATATAAACCACATAATGAAAGGCTGAGCCCAGAGATCACACAGTGTGGATGTGAGCAGGCTCGTCCCAGAGGAGATACGGGAAGTGGCACCTCGCGGTGTATCGTGCGCGTGAGGAAACGACGGGGCTCAGGAGACTGCTGTGCTATCCTTGGATACAGATGTGCTTTCAGGGGATCTGTGTTTTATGCTCTAAGCAAAGCCTTGAAAACAGTGGGCTCAGGGCAGCTACTTCATTCTGTCACCCTCGGGAATGCTTTGGCATTGCTTTTTGAAACATGTCCTGTTGCTCACCCGTCCCGAGGCTCTAGAAGGTGCCATGTCATTAATTCTGCACCCGCTGTATGAGCCAACACTCTGCGACTGTTTAACCCTGTGCAGTGTGTGACGAAGGCGGATGCCGCGGGCACCGGGCCAAGGCCTCCCTGCTGGCACGTGGCAGAGCTCAGACCTGACCCCGGGTCTCCTGGACTTGGGAGGGCACCTGTCGTCTCCACAGATGTGGGTCTCAGCGTGTCCTCAGGCCCAGGAAGCAGCCAGTCCCCCTGGATCCCGCATCTGAGGATCGGGATTCAGTCTCCCTTCCGCCTCAGCCGTTTCTCATTTTGGTAAGAGAATCCCGAGTCCACAAATGAGCCCGACCCTTTGCATGACTTTAGGGGCTGGGGATACTCTGGCGGGGGCGCCCGACTTGACAGGTACTCATTAGAGTCACGAGCGGGGGGGGAACATGTGCTCGAGAACTGACCTGACCCCCAAGTCCAGGAGCAGCTGCACTGCACACTTACTCATGTTCTAGAAATAGCACTCTTTTCTTTGGCCTGCAAACAACACGGCTTGCTCCCCAGGGTCCCCTCAGTCCCACCAAGACAAAGGATGGCCTGGGGCCCTCTCTGCTCCTTCTCTCTGCAGTACCCCGCCCTCCCCCTCTGATGCCCAGATATTCTCCGAAAATACAAACAAAGCCCTTAATTAATTTTTGCTATTTTGCTCCTTTCCCACCTGGCTGGGAGCGGAAATCAAAGCCCAGCAAGGCAGCTGGGCAGGGCCAGATCAGAAGGCGCCTTGCCGGGGCCCCGCTGTCCCTCTGCCTCGAAAGCTGGCCGTCCAAGTCCCCAGGAAGTGACCTGGTGGACGGCGGGGGCAGTGTGTGCTGCAGCCACGCGGGGATCTGAGGCGACCCTGGGGCTCGGCCGCCTCGTCCTACATCTGCTTCTCTTGGCTCCGGGCCGTTCCCACCCTGCCTGTGGCCGCGAGATGGTGGGGGGCCCAGCGGTGGGGGCAGCAGCCTTAACGAGCTCCAGCCCCAGCCGGAAGCCAGGTCAGAGGTGATGGGAGCAGAGGAGGGGGTGGTGGCCACCGGGGGCCCTCCGAGGCCACAGAGTCGGGGTTTCCGTAGAGCAGGCATGGGAATGTGCAGGCTGGGGGATGTCCCTGGCCACGCCAGGCCACGGGATGGTCCTTACTCACTGGCAACCCCAGCCCAGCACTTCTGACGCACGTCACGCCTGATCACACGCTCCCCTTACCACCTACCTGCTCTTGGTCTGAGACGTTTACCCAGCTTTCCCCGCTGACATCCAACCCTAGTTCTGTCTACAGGTTCTGAGAAGCCGCCTACTTTCCTGTCCTTCAACCAATTGAATCATCTTTCTCACGTGGGAACAGTACAGCCTTGGGCTCAAGCCTGGCTTGAAAATCATAGACTAGGTCCCTGGGGGCTGGTGTCAATCTCCGGCACAAAGGGCTTGGTTACATGTGGGCAAGGATGCCGCTGGCTCCCCTCCCCCCAAATGCAACCACGTTTTGTCCTTTCTCGCGCACAACCACGGTCTGACGCACAAGAGCTGGTCCCACAGACGTTCCTCAGTGTGATTTCCACACAACAGCGCGCAAGGGGAGAATTTGCCTTCAAGACCTACAAAATCGTTTTCGTCATGAAATAAACGCTACGTCATAACCCACCGGGTAGTTCCGCGGTCGGGAAGGGCGCCCCGTCCCCCAAGACGGACTTACCGGCTGTCCTTTGGGTCCAGGGGGTCCGGGTGGGCCCTGCGCAAACACAAAGAACCTCGTAAACGGTTTCCTTCATCCCGGGACCCACATCACACCTGCTGGAAAGCTCTGGGAAAGCCACTCAGTGGATGTAGAGAAGGCCGTGTGGTAGGTGGAGAGGTTTCCGGCCCTCCTGTCCCGGTGGGGAGGGGCGGCTGGAGGGCGGAGGACCCCGGAACCTGCCGGATGGCCACCCACAGCTGCTCTGGGTTTGCTTCTCTGAGTTCAGACTTCTGTGGTCGCCCGGACCCCAACTCCTGCCTGCTCGGACCCCTTGCAAGGTCCCGGGCCCCGTCGCCGCAGACGCTGCCGCCCCTGACCTCCTCCCCTCACGTTTTGCTGGTGGGCCAGAAAATGTTCATGACAGAATTAATCTGCAGGCCCAAACTGCTGGGTTGAACGTCCATGTGCAAACACCACTGTCTATGTGCAAAGTGCTCAGTGTTCACGCTACACTCAGGATGGAGTGTTAGACATGCATGTGAAGGGTGGTTGGTGTTCAAGTACAGGCAGTGTGGGCGATGTTAATGGCCTGTAGAAGAACCTGAGGCTGTCGGGTCAGCTCAGGACATGGCGGTGACAGGCCATTTCTTCAAGTTTCCCCAAACTGTGTATTTAAAGACCAACCCCCTCTGCATGCGGTGCGTGTCCGTGAACGGGCCGACAGCTGTATGCGGCGGGGAGCACAGAACCTGGCATCACATGTCCCTCATTTCTTCGGTTTTCTGCGAGAAGTTCTCTCTCACCTGGAGCTGAGTCTCCCCTAATGCTGTTCAAGGCCCATCTGTCTTGATGTTAAACTTCTGGGCAACGAGAGGCAGAGACCCGGTGAGGGCAGCTGGGCGCCGGGCTGGCGGGCGGTGGGGGAAGTGGTCTGGGGCGTCATGGGCATCGACATCTCTCTTTCCTCGTCCTCTCACTCCCTGCATCAAGCCCTCCTTCACCCCTGTATTTGTGCTGGTGCAAGTCACTCCGCCATTAGAGTTGCAGGGACAGGGAGCCCCTTCAGACCGCCACTGGGGCCATTTTGTTAACTGATGTCTAACATCTCACTGGCAATGATGGCCATGCCCTGGTGCGGTGCACCTGTCAGGATGGCCATGCCCCGGTGAGGGACACCTGTGGGGATAGCTATGCCCAGGTGAGGGACACCTGTGGGAACGGCCACGCCCAGGTGAGGGACACCTGTGAAGATGGCCACGCCCCAGTGAGGGACACCTGTCGGGATGGCCACGCCCCAGTGAGGGACACCTGTCGGGATGGCCACGCCCGGGCAGAGCCCATTTCCTCTCATCCACCTGTTGGACTCTGACGTGCTTTGCCCAGCGATGACAGGCCCTGGGTTAGCTGGCCTGGTGTGGGGCCGAGAGAGCTCGTCTCTACTGGAAGGGCCTCCAGCCAGCACCACCTCCACACTGGACGTGCTTGGTGGCGATCTGGTGCCCACCGGTTTCAGGCCCTCCTTCTGCAACCTTACTAGCAGCACAGCGCACGCGAGAGAGGACCTGACTTGTCTCGGCACCTGTGCAGTGACCAGGGACATCCAAGTTGTGTCGGGAAGCCTGCACACGCAGCGACTGAAGAATGCGTGTCTAGGGGGCACCCTGGCTGCCCCCCACGAGTGAGCCCTGGCACCTGCTACTTACCGGTCTTCCTGGAGCTCCAACAGGGCCCATCTGTCCCACAGGCCCGTGGCGGCCAGGAGGCCCCTGAGGACGGGCAACAGGGAAGGCTGTTAGGAACGGGCCGCTGGTATTTGCAGCCCTGAGTTCCTGAAGTTCTGCTGGGAACATGCTCTGAAGAAGAGAGACCTTACCTGGAAACCAACCAGCCCGGGCTCTCCAGGTTCACCCTAGTTGAGAGAAAATAATTTTCAGAGCTCTGGTGTTTACCGGCCTTAGATTTAGTTATTTTATCACAACGTTGGAAACAACTGTACAGACTGTATCAGCCCTGCCCGGGGCTTGCCCTTTATCTGGGGCACCGTGAATACAGACTGGAAAGGGTGCGCCCACAGGTCAATGTCACCCCATTGGGAAATCGATGATTTTTTTAATGTTTATTTATTTTGAGAGAAAGAGAGAGAGAGAGAAGGAGAGGGAGAGAGGATCCCAAGCAGGCTCCACACTGTCAGCACAGAGCCCCATGCGGGCTTGAACCCACAAACCATGAGGTCATGACCTGAGCTGAAATCAAGAGTTGGACACTTAACCGACTGAGCCCCCTGGCGTCCCAGGATAGAAATCGGTGATTTTTAGCTTCATCATGGTGCTGGGCTGCTCTGCCCCCAGGGGCCCCTGCTGACAGCTCAGCTGTACTGGGGAAGCTTTCTTATTCATCGGGACTCACCCCGCTCCCTCAGCCACGAGCCCCACATCAGCAAACGTACCCGGTACTTGTCGCGGTCCGCACTGGATAGCGCATACGGCTCGCCTTTCTGCCCCTTGGGTCCTTGGGGCCCCTATGGTAGCACGGGATGCGGTGGACAGAGAAAACACAGAGAACACTCAGTGCAGCGCTAGTCGTGCGGGTGATCAGACGCTGTCTGTAACCGCAGTGTCGCGGTCCTTACGCCTTATTTGGGTTCCTCTGAACACCCGTCCTCCATTCAGCCACACAGGTGAGGCTTTCACTTTCATATTTACCCAACAGTATCTTCCTTCAAAGTTAAAATGGAAACACTTTATAGGACTCAGGTTATTTTAAAAAGCCCAAAAGGGTGCTGAGTAAACGAATCCCCCAGGATACTAACGTGTTACTACTCTTCGTAATAATATATTTTGTCTTTCCCTGGGCACGAGGGTACTAAAGATATCAACACATAGGCTCTGAAGCATCGTTTCTGGGAGAGCTGCTGGGTCATTCTGTGAGAGTACAATTGTGACAATACACTCAGTACGTGTGCACCTTGTATGTGGATGAATGTCTTTTAATGCCTGCATATAAAATCAGTGTTGAAAAATTTTTATTTTTAAGACACAGAGAACAAGTGAGGGGGGGGGGGAGCAGAGGGAGAGGGAGATACAGGTTCCAGGCTCCGAGCCGTCAGCACAGAGCCCGACGTGGGGCTCACACTCGCAGACCGTGAGATCATGACCTGAGCGAAGCTGGATGCTTAACCGACTGAGCCACCCAGGCGCCCCTATAAAATCAGTATTTTAAAGTGATGGTTATATTTATTGATAATGATAGTTCAATGATATTAGAGCAGACTGGAAAGTGATGTCCTCATTGACAAGTTGAAAAAGACACAGCCGCGGGAGAGGACTGGGGAGGCAGAGAGAGTAAGAAACCCACCAACGTCAGGGGAAACCACAGGGAAGAACGTGTGACTGTCCTTCCCCAGCCCTAGAAATGTTTTCTTAAAGAAAAAGTTTTACCAAACAAGATGTTGGGAAAACTCTGACTTTGCAATATTTTGATGGCAAGAAGGCAGCCATACAGAACTAAAAACATTGCAAGATTCTTTGCCAAGACCTGAAAACAGTCTACAAAATAGACGGATATACAAAAGTTTTTCAGTTAAAAAAAAAAAAAAAAAAGCACACTTTCCATTAAAAAAAAAAAAAAAAAGTGCCCGTCGGGGCAGGAGAATGTCGCTGTTCCCACGTCACAGAGGATTCTAGAACCTAACAAGATGGGGACTGACGGGCATTCTGTCAAAAGCTTTAATTAAGCCTTTTTATTCTAGTTTTGCTCTTACCCCGTTCCTCCCTGTGACTTGAACTGGGGCGCGGGGGGAAAATGCGGGACACTGGTAAAATCGCACGATATAAACCGAACGTATTATTTTCTATCTCGTTCACAGAATGAATTTGGACAACGAAGCTCCCTGGATGCAGGAACCTCATGCCTAGATGTCCTCAGGAACGTGAGCTCCCTGACCGCCGGCTAAGGACAGGGAGCTCCAGCCTGGGGTGCAGGAGCCGGGCTGAGCCTGACCGCCCGCCCCGGCCGCGGGGGCCACAGCAGGCAACCCGCCTCTTCGGCAAGGCTCTCTGACACAATTTCTGAAAGGGCCTTCTGGATGGGCCCGTGAAAGGCACGCGTGTCCCCTACCCGTCCGCGGGACAGGGCCGGCCCCCCCAGCTCCTGGAGCTCAGCACCCCAGCGCACGTGCTGCCCCATACTCACAGGAGGGCCGAGGAACCCCTCGGGGCCCATGGGTCCCTGCCGGCCCGCGTCTCCTCTGGTCCCATTGCAGCCGTCATGACCAGGTGGTCCTCTGGGCCCACCTTGCCCGGGGTGTCCCTGGGAGAGAAGAGTCAGTGAGCCTTCTAGCACGCGGTCAGGAGTTCTCACGAAGAGCGTGATAAACCACTTCTAAATCTTCCCACCCCGCCTGAACCCAAGGGCAAAGAGAACTCAAAGCCAGCAGATGAATGGATGAAAGATTAAGTAAACGAAGGCGCCTAGGTACAGTTCTGAGCAGCAGAACGGCCTTCAGGACAAAGTTCTGTCTGCTGTGGGCTCTGTCTAGGAGTCCCCTGCCGCTGGTCTATTGGGAGGTGTTTTAGCAGGGACAGGTCACGGTAGATTTACAACTTCTAGAAGACATTGGGAGGTGGCTATGTCTTTCATGGGCAGTAAGGGGGCCCGGTCTTTTGTGTTCAACTGAATTGTAGAGGGTGAGTTGACAGATAAACGCATGCAACACAGGAAGGAGACTTACCCCCCAACCCCCGCCCTGCCCCGTCATGGGATTTCATCCGTGACTTAGCCATATGTAGAAAAACTGACTTCCTCTTATTTGCTTTCTGGGGGAGACAGTCCTTTTTAGATTTGAAGATGTTCAGAGATGTCGGGGTGGGTGAGGGGAGGGGAGGCGGGATATCCAAATGTCTTTTGAATAACGAGGGTCAGGCCGAGCTGACGGACTATGAGAGCACAGCTTATTTTGCTACTTCTTCCCAAGGCAGATGTTTTGAAAACTGCCATCTTATTGATTGATTTAAAACTTTATATTTGCTGACAACAGACCAGGCATACACTCCAGAGTGATTTTTTGAGGCCCTATCCGGATGCCTTTTAGCTTTACGATGAGAAATTTGAGACATTTCCGGAGAGATGAACGAATCCTACACAGGGTGCCTGTACCCTGAATGATATTTTATATGAGTTGCATTTTCATTCTGCTGTACATCTCCCTCCTTTAGACAGTCAAAGCCACTGCTTTAAGGAGGACTGTCAGGTCAGCATAGACTCAACGGTCAACCCCCTGGTGAGACGGGCCCATCGCCCCTGTAAGTCACAGAGCACAGTCGTCGCTCTGGCTGGTGGCACTGTAGCCAAGCACAGGCCTTTTTTTTTAGGGGTCTCTGAACGTTGATCCTTCAAATTCAGTCTGAGACACAAGCCCGGAGGGCGTTCTGCTCACGGTCTGTGTGTCCTTCTGTGTTCGAAACTCGGGTTCTTCACTCCTCTCCAGAATGACCTGTCTTCAGTTGGTCTTCTTTGCTCCCTTACGACTGATCTAAGTCATTTGACATTGTGTGTTAGTTGGACATTAATTCGAGATTGTTCTTCAAAGAAAAATTGCAATTACCTTGAGCCACCCGCCCGTCTCGTGTTCAGCATCTAACTGGAGACAACTCTTAGGATCTGACTGCACGTCACATTTTATATATGGCTTCTAAGTGGCTAAAACTAGCCCGGTGGCAGGCGGCACATCCGTTCACGTGTGTGCAGTTCCAGGGCCCTGCGGTCAGTGGGCGAGGCTGTTTGTCGTCAGCAGCATGGAAACTGGTTCCATGCTTCCTGTGACCACTCTCTCGTGTGAAGATACGCCCTCTCCAACGTGTGAACTATTTGGTCCTCAGAGTAAAGGGGCATAAAGTGGAAAAACAAAACGGGACTCAGAGCAGCTATACTATTTTTCCACATCACTCCTTTTAAACTCAGAGTTTGACTTCCAGAAGACAAAACCAACGGCCGGCCCCAAGAGCTTATGAAAGCGGTAAGAACAGGTTGTTAGCTGCAGGCGGCTGGTAGGAAAATGCTTTTATTACTTGTTTACCCCTGGAAATCTCTGGATTCTTTGACCCTGCCAATTTCTGAAGATTCTGACTAATGGGGAAGTGACTACCTCACTTGTTCACACAGCTGTGTGTCATAACCTTTGCATGCAAGCCCCCATCCAGGTGACGGTCGGGGTCAGGTCACTGTCACGAAGGTCTCAGGTCTGCGTGGGGCCTGTCTGTGGCCCTGAGCACCTTCCTATACCACCGCACGGCCTCCTGGGTGTGCGGCTGGTGCACTCAAGAACAAGCACGCCCTCTCTGTGATGGCTCCTCTGTTTCCTCGTACAGGCGCTCACACAGCCCTGGGAGTGCCTCTCTCTGTTATGTGTGCACGCGTGTGCTAACACAGGGACAGAGGCCGTGGGCATGTGGGCTAAGGGCTCAGACGTGTGCACACGAGCGAGGTTCCTGAAGCAGATGTCCTCAGGCCTCAGCAGCAGGCGAAGGCACGTGTGATAAACACGTCTGTCCCCGCGGCCGGGATCTTGGGAAATCGGCTGGCGGATCCTTGCGAAGAAGGCTGTGAGTCAGGCCGCTGTGTTTATTTTTTTTATGCCGCAAGAAGTAAAGTAAACTAGGTTAGAAAAACACATTTTACTGCATTTTGAGATTTTCTCACGGACAAACCCTGTCTTTTCCTCTTCTCATTCATGTGCAGTTTAGCACAGGGAACTGGAGAGCTTCACCGACGTCCAGCAGAGGGCGCCGTCCCGCCCACCATCTGGGCTGCGGAGTTGATTCTCTGGCGGCTTCATAGTCCAACAAAATGTCAGGACTCGTTCCTATGGAGCCCGTCTAACGCGCCAGACCTTCATCATAAAACAACGCCCGGTTTTCGCAGTCACCTCAAGTCTGAAGCCAAGTCCAGAAGAACGTTTACAAAGGAAACCATTTGTGCAAAATCTGACTGGACTCCGGGGGAGAAGTCTGCACAGAGAACCCTACTCCTCGTCACAGACAAGACAGGAGTCTGGTCAGAAATGTTTCTGACTGCTTGGCGTGCCCTCGATGTTCTGAAGCCCTAATCTCCCAGAACACTTACGGGAATTCCGTCGGCACCAGGAAATCCAGAGACGCCTCTTGCTCCCTGTAAGGAAGGCAAAGGAGCTTAGTGCACAGGATGGTACCCCCGCAGCCCGTCACAAAGTGGGGGAACAGAGAAGTCACCATACCACGTCTCCTTTGGGTCCTGTGAATCCCGGCGACCCTCTCTCGCCCTTGTCGCCTTTGCGGCCCTGCAGCCCTGGGAATCCCTGGAGGCCTGGGGGCCCGGTGTACCCCTGGGGGCCCACTGGCCCTGGCTGGCCCTGCAGAGACAACAGAGTCGAATCACAGTTAATAACCACAGGCAAGCAGTTTCCAGCGCTGCTTTCGAAACGGCGCTTTTCATTCTGAAAGAGCCGTCGTGTTCAGAGAAGGTGACGTGTAAACTTCCATCTCCTGCCGCCGTGGCCACAGAGTGGTTTCTGGCTGAGAAAGAAGGCCTAGGGTGTTAAAAACAACATGTTAAATGTGAGAAAAAAACCATCCTAGATTACCAATGTCGTGTTATTGTGAAATGCTGGCATTAGGTTGGGGTGAAAGAATCAAGTTACTCGGCTTTTAAAAAAACTTTTAAGGTTTATTTACTTATTTTTGAGAGAGAGAGAGACAAAGACAGAGCATGAGCAGGGGAGGGGCAGAGAGAGGGGGAGACACAGAATCTGAAGCAGCTCCAGGCTCTGAGCTGTCAGCACAGAGCCCGACACAGGGCTCGAACCCACAGACCGTGAGATCATGGCCTGAGTTGCAGTTGGATGCTTAACGGACTGAGCCACCCAGGCGCCCCTTACCTGGCTTTTTTAAAAAATAAAAAAAGTCTCAGTGAAAAAGAAAATTCCACACAAACTTCTAATATTTTATCTTCACTCAATATACTTCCCAGAACAGGATGGAAATGTATGTTGCACTCAGGTATCAAAACGATCCGCAGATGTTGAAGTGATCAGATAATCTCCCATCTACCCACACACTACATGCACACACAGAGAAAAACTAACGGTGTCTGAAGCCCATAGAAATCTACGCCCATGGCCACTGGACGTGGGTAGCCATTATTTAAGAAAAAGACAAAACGACGTGTTGGTGAGGACGGGGAGAGGTCGGAGCTCTCGGCACTGTGGGTGGGGGCGTAAACGGCGGCCGACATGGGACAGGATGGTGGTCCTCAAAGAATGAAGCAGAGGACTGCCCCACGTCCAGCAACTCCCTCCTGGGAGAATCCCCAAAACTGCTGCGAGCAGACACTCCAACACTTGTGCACCTGCCGAGGGCGGCACGGGCTTCACCGGGAGATGGTGATACACGGAATGGGGGCCGCCCATGCCATGGGAGATTATTCGCCTGGCCGGGGGCCGTGGGGGTCTCGCCTCTGACGTGCGTTATCACTCCTACGCTGCCGACGCCTGTGGACGTGGGGCCCAGGTGTGTGGGGAGCGGTTAGGAATTTCTCTGAGGCGGAAGGTACGGATGGAGGTGAAGATCCAGTTGATGGGACCCCTGCGTCCTCCAACGAAGGGTGTTTTGGGAAGTCCCCTTACGCTCCCTCTGGGCCAGGTCGGTCTTGGAGGTGGTGGGTTCTTGTGCTCTACCTCCCACGTGTTCCGGGGGGGGCCTGTCAGGGCGGAAATCACCAGCTACCCCAGATGAGTGCAAGCAGCGTAGGCAGTGGCGAAGCCACGGAGGTTTGTATCTTTGAAGAATGCGGCGAAAGGGGGGCTGTTGCCGCTTACTTGTCTCCTTCTTGCTGAGGGGGGCTGTGCTGGGAGGTGGGTAGCCCCGACCTTGAACACACGAACCCCGGGCTCACCATAGGCTAACGTTCAGGGCTCTCAGTCTGCTGCACTTGCTCTAAGTTTGGGGACAGAACATGCTTTGATTCTGAGTTTTATGGATCTTTCCCAGTTGTAATCATTTTTGTTTGCACTGTTAGAATAGCACCTTCCTGTGATTATGCGGTACGCCCCAAGCCCTCAAATGCCCCTACTCATGGCGAGGCTTGCACGGTGAGCGGCCTTTGGGGGATAAAATGTTCTTCATTAGGCCTGTCATTTTTACTGACTACAAAGTTCCTCCGTCTGGGGGGGCTCACTGCACGCCGCCAACTAGGCGGGGCATCTGCCGTGAACCACAGCGTAACACGTGCGTCTTCGTGATGAAAATCCACATTCTTGTCGTGCCTTCGTTAACCTTTCCTCAGTTCCCTTTGATGGGAAAAGTGATAGCAACGTCTTGCACTCACTTTCCTGCCATTGTCAGTAAACTTCTTTTCAGCCTTTGTTTCTTGGATGGGAAGTCTGGCTTTTGGAATGAGCCTTTCCTCTTCTAGAGCAGGCTATCGCCGTGAAATTCCCATCACAGAAAACTCACCATTTCAAAGTGGCTTCCAGCACATCCACAACATCCTCTACCCACCAGTTCTATCTAGTTCTAAAACGTTCCCATCGCCCCAGAAGGAAGTCCCGTACCCACTGAGCAGATGCTCTCCCCACCTACCCAGCCTCTGGTCACTACCCGTACTGGTATCTGCTCTTGGTGTTTAAGGGACCTGTGCATTCTGGGTATTTTGAATATATGGGATCATATGTGTGATATGTGACCTTTTGTGGCTGGTTTCTTCCACTTACCATAAAATTTCTGGGTTCTTCCATGTGGTAGCACCTACGGTGCCCCATTCACTTTCACGTCTGAATCATATTCATTGTATGGACAGACCACCGTCTGTCTATTGCATCCATTAATGGACATTTAGGGTGTGCCCACCTTGGGGCTGTTGTGAGTAGCGCTACCATCAACGTGCCCGTACAGTTCTCTGTGTGAGGACCCATTTTCGTTTCTTCTGCATAGAGACTGAGGAATGGAATTTCTGGATTTTCTGGAACTTTCTGAGGAACTTCCAGACTGCTTCCCACAGCGGCTGCACCGTTTCTATTCCCAGCAGCGTTGTGTGAGGATTCCAGATTTCTCCACTCCCTTGCTAAAAACTTGCTCTTTTCCATTTTTTAAAAATTATAGCCATTGTAGTGGATGCAAGGATGGTGTCATTCTGAAGAGTTTATCTTCAGCTTCTGACAGATGGGACATTTCACAAATTCCATCCAGCTTCCGCCCTGGGGAAGGGCCAGGAAGAGTCTGGAGAAAATCTGAATTAGACCTTCGTCCCCGGGGACTGGACCCTCGCTCTTGCCCACAGTGCAAACCCTGCGCTGCTGGGGCTAAATGGACATTGACGTCAAGGTCAAGGACCTTGCTCTGCATGTTTTAGTCATCAGGCCTGAGACTTCCCCTAGGATATCCTGCCGGCCAGGGCGTCTAGTGTGTTTGTAAGGAGCGGCTGGAATGACCAGCTAATGAGAAGGATCTTCCTCTGTGCTAATTTTCCTCAAGTGCCATCCTCAGTGGAAAAGTCGCGGTTGGAAAACCTATTTCCATCTCTTGTCTTCCTTTGGTTCTAAGTGATGTTAAAAATAAAAATTACCCCAGAAGGAGCAGGAGTCTAGTTTGAATGTCTTTGCATAAACCTCAGAGGCTCCTCGGAGCCCTGCAGTATACTTGATAAAAGTATTCCTGCAGAACATTTCTTAAAAGCCAGCAGACGCCATGGAAAGGAGTGGTGGGACCATGTGCCAGGACCCCGTCCTGCCCGGCGATCTGATTCTTATCCATGTGTTACTTGCTGGGAGGCAGGACACAGGAGAAAGCACCATTAAATTGTGACGGGATGCAGTGCCTGTTACAGGTTTTATTTTCTTTTTAATTTTTTAAAAACATTTTTATTTTTGAGGGAGTGCAAGCAGGGGTGGGACAGAGAGAGAGGGGGACAGAGGATCCGACGTGGGCTTTGCGCCGACAGCTGCGAGCCTGACGCGGGGGTTGAACTCACGAACCAGGAGATCATGACCAGAGCCGAAGTCGGATGCTCAACCGACTGAGCGCCCCAGCTGGCCCTGTTACAGGTTTTAAAAAACAGCTTATTGGGCTGCCTGGGTGGCTCAGTCAGTTGAGCGTCTGACTCTTGATCTTGGCTCAAGTCATGGTCTCACAGTTCATGGGTTCGAGCCCCCATGTCGGGCTCTACGCTGACAGTGCAGAGCCGGCTTGGGATTTGCTCTCTCCTTCTCTCTCTGCCCCTTCCCTGCTCATTCTCTTTCTCTCAAAAAAACAAAAACAAAAAAAACAAAAACGAAAAAAACAAAAAACAAAAACCCAATAAAAAACACCCCCAAATCCAAAACCCTTTAAAAAACAGCTTATCTTATTTTATCCCCATGCGAAATGTGTCACTAGCTGTCACCTCCGTTTGAGAGGAGACAACCAAGGCTCTGGAAAGAGCCAGCTGTCACACAGTCAGGTCGGGGAGGGGAGGGGACCGGCTCTGAAGCTTCTGCGTTCTGTTACATCGACACTGCTCACAGCGAGCTCCTCGACCTGCACCAGCTCCGCCGGGAGCCCGAGTGAAATGCAGAGTCCCAGGCTCGGCCCAGAGCCTCCCAGGGCTTCACGGATCACCATCCCGGGGGGTTTCTTTGTACAGTAGATTGTGAGGTTCACTGCACAACACCACCCTCCCTGCCCCCTGACGTTCTTACAGAAGCAGGTATCTTTTAATAAAAATCTCAAGCATGAACTCGGGTCTCAGAAGGAAAGCTGAGTGTTTGCTGCATCAGGCAGAGGAAAATCCAATATTTACATTAGTTAAGCACTGTTTCTAACTACATTTTCTAACTACATTTTCTTGGTCTTCTGCGTCAGTGAGATCTGCCACAGGCCAGGATCAACTCTGCTCCCCGCGAGGAGGGCAGGCTGCTCTTCCCGTCTCCTTCCTGAAATCGCTCCTGGGGCATGTGTGGGATCCAGGGTGGGTTGGAGGAACTGAAGTCTGAAAAGGCGGATAGAATGCGTCCAGACTTGACTACGCATTGCTCAAATACCGCGGCTGCGGCCAGAACACACTTAAAGTCCTGAGGCTCTTACTGAGCTTTCCTGAATTTGGAATTTTCTCTTCTGAGAAAAGGGCAGAATGTAATGGGCTACGTGCATGTGGGGGCTGACGCCAGACCCCCGGACGCTGACATGAAGCCGGAGCGCTGATGATTAACGAGGGCCTGAGAAGGGCGGCCTCACACTCACGCGACCCCAAGGCGGGTGGGGGTCCTGTTTCCATTCACAGCTTATTAACCTTACAGTTCTCTGTGGGGAGGAGGGTAAAAAAAAAGCTTCCTTTATCAGGGAAGGAGAAAGAGAAATGTTTCCAAGGATAAAACCCTGC